TTAAAAACCAATACATGGATAAAACTGCTCCTAAAAATTTATAATTTGCATTTAGGAAAGTCACGAATTAGGAGCTAGTTTGATGACATTATTATATGATGACCGTATTGGTACAGGCGTACAGCCATCAAAATGCAAAAGTGCAGTAACTTAACATGATAATAAGACGGATAGTAGAAGTTCCATTGAAATTAAACAGGCTCATCCAACCCGTGGCGCGCAAAAGAGTTTCGCCCACGCATCATTTTTCTTCTGAAGCAGAGAAGATTTGAAACAAATTAAGGCACCACTGGGATTCGAACCCAGGATCTCCTGTTTACTAGACAGGCGCTTTAACCAACTAAGCCATGGCGCCAAGCGTCTGTAGTCCGAAGTATATGAAGCCATTTGTACGCCTCTCTCTCTTTCTCTGTCTAACTCTATCCCATCTAGATATTCTGTTTGATTAAAAGGATGTAATTGATTTGATTACGTATATTTTATTAATTATCTCAAGCACCGTTGATAATAAATGAAGCACGCCGGTGTTAACAAAACGATGTAATTTGTCGACGTTTCGAATTTCTAACAACATGAGTTTACCTGGTGGCAATCATGCACTATCTCAAGCAACGTTACTCGTCGGCCCCATGGTGTAATGGTTAGCACTCTGGACTTTGAATCCAGCGATCCGAGTTCAAATCTCGGTGGGACCTGTGCAGTCTAAATTTCCTCAATTATTTCTGTATATTATGATTCGAGGAATTCTTTTGAATGAAATCTGGTACTTGAAGCCGGACGAATATAAACCCCACTGAGAAAATACCTACAAACTTAAATCAAAACGATGCTGTTTCATACAGTACCGATATGATAGGAATTAGTTCACATCAGATCATGCTGGCCTGCGTGGAGTTTATCATGGAAAACTGATCGAAGCTGGGGTTAACATGAACAGTCAAACGTTAAATGTATCGGATATTTGATGATAAAACAGACTACTTACACTTACACAAAGCAAATGAATTTTGTCTCAAACTGATGTTGAAACGCCTGCGTGTGGAATGTTCTTGCCATTTTGTACTCCGTTTGTTGTTGTTTTCTTCGATGGTGCTTTTACTATTGTTGTTTATCGTCCGGTAGACTATTAGTTGAATGCGTTTGTAATCAAATTAATTTTATCACAATTCTCATTATTTCCTTGTACAGATATGGTAGAAGTTACACTCCCACACCCAAGTATTTACGCCCAAATTATTTTTTGTGTCTCTTTTTTTTTAAATTTACTTCATGTGTTGTTTGGGGTAAGTGGGCACGTGCACCAGCCCGTCTTAAATCTTTTTTTTAGATTTTGCCCATTTTCCTGATTTTCCGTACATTTGTTTGTTTTGCCATGTATTGTTTGGAAAATTGAAATAAACACTTACTTCGTTGCTTACTTACACTTATAATATAATTTAGTCTACATGAGTCTTAGAATAAAATCTGTACAATCGTGAAAACAGCCGTTTTGTCGATATAATCCATTGAGGTTTTATACACCTCAATGATATAATCCAATACGCGTCGCGGGCCGGATTATTATACACCGAGGGCCGTAGGTTGCCGACCCCTGGACTAGTCCATGCCCCAACCTGCCCTAACCTATGTATCTGTAAAAGGGACAAAGTGTGTCGCAAACGTTTTGTGCGCATAATACAAATAAAACTTTGATTGTAGCTTATTTCCCATTTAAATTATATTACTTAATAGTCACGCCCTTCCAGGTTTACAACGTAGCACATTAAAGATCGTAGCAAGCCGAAAACAAGGTGAGGAGGCATATTAATTATTGTATATTGACGCAATAAGACACTTACTCGTGTCTTCTGCTCAGAACATGGCTAGATGGATAATTTTTCAACCTTCTGGTGTTTTTTAGGAATAACAAAAGATGAAATAAAAGATAATTTATTTTATGACTAAATGAATGCGTGGCTTTGAATCCAGCATCTGACTGCCTTTTTGTCCACTTATTCAAGAATGAGTCAAAAAATATATATACCTCTTCATCTCGGCAAGATATTCTGTTGTTCAATTCTATTTTTAACAAACTTAAAATCGATAAACTATTGGTTTGCGAGTAATTATGATCAAAAATTGCCAATTTTTATTTTTGATTATATATATTGTATTAAATTATCACAAACCGCATTCAACATCGACCACGTGCTCTGACGGTAGCACTCTGAACTTTGATAATCGGGCTTTTGCCTTCAGGTATTTTTATATTTTATGATTTGATAAAAACTTTTTTGTATCAACTTTTCCCCTAAATCGGGTTGGTTACCTAATGAAGGCCTGCGTTCGAATCCCACTTTTAACAACATCTTTTTATCTGCACCCTAAACACTTAACAAACTCATATTCGTCTCAATTTCACCAAGTAGCATATTATTGATGCGTGACTTTGAATCGAGTATCTGCTATTCTCCCTTTTTGTTCACTCCATGTGAAGGTGTCAAAAACTAGATTTCAGTTTTGAGAGAAATGGATTTTATTCTCGAATAAGTGTAATTATAGTTTGTAGTACGTCGATTATATGCTGAGCATCACGGTTAAATTGCTCGCAATCGTGTATGAGAAACCGTCGATCAGGCCTGGGCCTACTCACTTATACTGTACATTTTAACGATTTCGTGTATGTCGGACGCGGAAAAGCTGTAATTTAAAAATTGAATCCTGAAAAAAAGCAGAGAAGATTGGAAACAAATTAAGGCACCTCTGGGATTCGAACCCAGGATCTCCTGTTTACTAGACAGGCGCTTTATCAATTAAGCCATGGCGCCAAGCGGCTGTAACCGGGAGTATATGAATCCACCTGTACGCCTCTCACTTTTTCTGTATCAATCTCAGTTTAACTCTATTTACCTCTCTATCTCATTGAAATATTCTTTTCTTTGAATCTGTGGTTGAGAAAGTTATAATTGGTTCCCCATTTGTCTGCTATTAATTTTGATCTAAAGAATTTAATTGATGTAAAAATCCAAAAGTGCAATAATTTAACATGATAATAATTGGATAATAGAAGTTCCATTGAAATCAAACAGGGTCGTCCAAACCGTGGCCCGCAGAAGAGTTTGAGTGGCCCGCGCAGTATTTTTCGGCATTTATTCCTCGTCGTTCAAACGTGTGAAAGACACGACTAAATGAAAATTCAACAAAATCAAATTGTGCGATCATTGATCAAGGAAAATTATAGGAATTCTTATCCTTTTTGTAGGTTCTGATCATCCTTATCGCCTCAGTAAAATAAAAAATGTACAATATCTTTGCTACTGGTTCCGGTATACGTTGTTTTTTAGTTTGCATTTTGCTATCGTGTGTATGTTATTTTTGCGTTGAATAAAATTCCGAAATTTTTCTCACCCTGAAAATGCGTGCATATTGTGTTCAGATATTCACAATAGCTTTATGCAATCCATGTGTTTGATTCAAATTCTAACGTAAATCGAAACTGGTATAATATATGTATATATATATATATTTAAGTTTGCGGCCCGCAATGAGTTTGCTCGTATGAAAGTGGCTTGCGGCACTAAAAAGGTTGGACATGCCTGAAATAAGGTATTGCCATCAAAAGGACCGTCTCAATGAATTTCATCTTTGAGTCACCTGTACCATGTCTTGGTGATTAGGAACTCAACAGCTTCAAATCGATTTTATTTATAGAACTAGCGTTATATAGCGCTCGTTATCTACACTACTAACAAAATCTTCGAATATCTCGATCAACTGTCAGGTTGATCTTATTCTTGCACAAGCCGAGCAGATTTACATACCCACAAGAGACAACAGTGATACTTTCATTTGCGCAAAGGAGGGATCTGCCTAAACCCTGGCTCATAAAAAAAAAAGAACATCGTACATATTATGATACAGATATATTTTTTATGCACAAAAATCAGCCAATCAAGCAGAATAACGATTTAATTGTCGCAAAACTTGATGGGTTTTGCAAAATATGACATTCGCAGATTATATATATGTGTAGTATACGAGGTGCGGCTAAAAAGAAACGGGACTGACGTCACAGATTGCGCAACACGATTAACCATCGGTAATCAACACTTTTGCAGTGTTGCATAATATGTGTTCTTTGTTTAACAGCTGTTTTGACACAATATCGCAATTATTTTTGCTTTTCAGGATCCATAAGTGAATGTGATAAATTTCTTGTTGAAAAAAAATGCTGTGCGAGGTCTGATTGAGTTTTTTGGCGATAGGGGGTTCAATTGAAGAATGACGATTGAGCAAAGAATTAACATTAAATTTTGTGTCAAACTTGGAAAAATGCATGTCAACTCGGCATGCATTCAATCGTTGAGCTTTCTGCTCCTCAGTCAACTCAAGAGCCTTTGGCATCATTTTGGCACACACCTTTCGCATTCCCAAAGTGTCAACCAAAATGGCGCGGACCGTTTCTTTGTCCATCCCAATTTCGTTGGCAATGACGCGAATTGTTGAGCGACGGTCACTGCGAACCAACTGCCAAACCTTTTCGATGTTGGTATCAGTAGTGGAAGTGCAAGGCCTCCCTGACCTCGGATCATCCTCCACATCCTCCCTGCCTTCCACAAATCGCTTGTGCCATTCAAAAACTCTTGTTCTGGACATGAAAGAATCTCCATAAACATCACGCAACATCTGCAAAGTCTCAGTCGCCGTTTTTCCAAGTTTGACACAAAATTTAATATTAATTCTTTGCTCAGTCGTCATTCTTTAATTGAACCCCCTATCGCCAAAAAACTCATTCAGACCTCGCACAGCATTTTTTTTCAACAAGAAATTTATCACATTCACTTATGGATCCTGAAAAGCAAAAATAATTGCGATATTGTGTCAAAACAGCTGTTAAACAAAGAACACATATTACGCCACACTGCAAAAGTGTTGATTGCCGATGGTTAATCGTGTTGCGCAATCTGTGACGTCAGTCCCGTTTCATTTTAGCCGCACCTCGTATATACTATATTGTTTGGCACAAAATTTTAGGACAATTCGGAGCTGATATATGTCCCGTACTCGGCCTTAGAATCTTGTCGGTGATCAATCGCCCCAGTTTGATGTCTGTTTACTGCCTCATTGAATGAGTAGACGCGAGTATATGCGAAATATCACTAAAATACGATAAAACAGTTGCCTATAATTTTTTACACAGTTAGAGAGCATGATAAGGAAAGTTAATTTTTTGAATGAAGTTTATCAAATCAGATATTCTCTCGCTTTATACATTTCCATAAATTCGAGACAGAAGTGATTGCGTAGTTTTTTATTCTAAATATGCTACTTCGTAATTTTCATTCCTAATCTATTATTTGCATTTCTTGGCCACCAACGCTGTTCTTCAGTAAGAATCGAGGAACGCAAGTCGTGACCCAGGTATTCAAGTTGATTCTGGAAAATGAAAATTCGGCTCTTATAACGAACGCGTAATTGCGGCAAATTTCCGATTTTGAAATTCGGTAAAATTATGTTGTGTTTGGTTTCATTGCTTTTTCACACTGAGTACGGTTGCAATAAACGCACCTTGAGTCCGCAAAGGTTTTCGCCGGTGAGAAAATAGCCCGCGACCAAAAAGGTTGGGAAACGCCGGGTTAGAGTAAACAGATAGGGTGTCGATAAAATCCCTTTACAATTTCGATTTTGTTATGAAGTCAGTCCTCAATATATTTTAATCAGGTTTGTTGTTTTTTAATCAGTAATTGTTTAAGTATTTTTACTTCATATAATACGTCTGTGAGGGCCAAAATATTACATGGTATCGATAAATTCCCTTTGCAATTTTGAAAAATTCCAAGACTTTATGGACACCCTCTTTATTAGGTAAGATCCATGGAATAACGTAAGTAAGATCCATGGAATAACAAATGGTTGCGACCACACACTTACGCGCACACCAAGATTTGAAACAAATAAAGGCACCACTGGGATTCGAACCCAGGATCTCCTGTTTACTAGACAGGCGCTTTACCAACTAAGCCATGGCGCCGAACGGCGTAAACTAAGGTATATGCATCTACATCTCTCTCTCTATCACTTTCTTCATATTTCTCAGTCTAAGACTATTTACCTCTTCATGTCATGGAGATATTCTGATGTTTGAATCTATGATTAAGAAAGTTAAAACTGATAACCCGTTGATTTCCGATTAATTTTGATAAAAACGAGTCAATTGATTTAATTTGATTACGTATATTTCACCAATTATCACATACGCTATACCGCGTCGGCCCCATGGTGTAATGGTTAGCACTCTGGACTTTGAATCCAGCGATCCGAGTTCAAATCTCGGTGGGACCTGTGTGGCGTTAATCTCGCATATTTTAGTATGATATGATGAAAACATTTTGCATTAACTCATAGTCACACATTCCTGATTCTGTCACACAGTAATACCGCGAACAGTTGTTAGAATTAACAGCCTACAGTCATATGCTTTTTAAACAAATAATATTTCACGTAAGCCTAAAAATATGATTTGATACAGAACCAGTAACTTCCTCCCAGGGATGGCCAATATCGAATAGTTTACTATATTCGAAACTATTATATTCAAATATGAACTGTTATCTACAATTAGGGCTGTCCAAAATCGAATATATTTTGATTCGAATCGAACTGAACATTATGCAAAGCCTGTAGAAACTATTCTAATCCTATTATCATTAGTCTTGATTCTCAAGGTTCTGTGTGTAATTTTCAGCAAAATGATTAACAATCAATAGATAGATAGTACTGCTCCTAAAAATTTATAATTGGAATTTTTAGGAGCTAGTTTGAGGACATTATTATATGATGACCGTTTTGGTACAGCCATAAAAATGCAAAAGTGCAATAATTTAACATGATAATAGATGGATAACAGAAGTTTCATTGAAATTAAGCAGGTTCGTCCAACCCGTGGCGCGCAGAAGAGTTTCGAGTGGCCGGCGCAGTATTTTTCGAAATTAAATAAACTGAACTTAACCTGACGTTTCCCATAAATATGAGGCACAATTGACACCTCCCATAAAAAATTAAGTAAATTATTATTAAAGCATTTATTCATCGTTAAAACGCGCGAAAGACACGACTAAATGAAAATTCAACAAAATCAAAAGCTATTGTGCGATCATTGGTCGAGGAAAATTATAGGATTTTTTATCCATCTTGCAGGTTCTGATCATCCTTATCGCCACCGTATAATAAAAAATGTACAATATCTTTGCTACTGGTTCCGGTATACATTGTTATTTTTGTTTTGTTTGCATTTTGCTATCGTGTGTAGCATATGTTATTTTTGCGTCGAATAAAACTTCTGAAATTTAGTCACTTCGTGAAAATGCGTTCATATTGTGTTCAGATATTCACAATAGCTTTGTGCAATCCGTTTGATTCAAATTCGAACGTAAATCAGAACTGGTATATTATATATATATATATATATATATATATATAAGTTTGCGGCCCACAATGAGTTTTCTCGTATGAAAGTGGCCCGCGGCACTAAAAAGGTTGGAACTGCCTGAAATAAGGTATTGCCATCAGAAGGACCGCCCCAATGAATTTCATCTTTGAGTCACCTGTACCATGTCTTGGTGATTAGTAACTCAACAACTGCAAATCGATTATATTTATATAACTAGCGTTATATAGCGCCCGTTATCTACACTGCTAACAAAATCTTCGAATATTTCTAGCAACTGTCAGGTTGATCTCATTCTTGTACAGGCCGAGCAGATTTACATACCCACAAGAGACAACAGTGATACTTGCATTTGCGCAAAGGAGGAGTCTGCCTAAACTCTAAAAGAACATCGTACATATGATGCAGATAAAATTTTTATGCACACAAATCAGCCAATCAAGCAGAATAACGATTTAATTGTCGCAAAACTTGATGAGTTTTGCAAAATATGACATTCGCAGAATATATGTGTAGCATACTATATTGTCTGGCACAAAATTTTAGGACACTTCGGAGCTGATATATGTCCCGTACTCGGCCTTAGAATCTTGTCGGAGATCTATCGTCCCCAGTTTGATGTCCGTTTACTGCCTCATTGAATGAGTAAACGCGAGTATATGCGAAATATCACTAAAATACGATAAAACAGTTTCCTATAATTTTTTACACAGTTAGAGAGCATGATAAATAAAGTTAATTTTTTGAATGAAGTTTATCAAATCAGATATTCTCTCGCTTTACACATTTCCCTAAATTCGAGACAGAAGTAATTGCGTAGTTTTTTATTCTAAATATGCTACTTGGTAATTTTCATTCCTAATCTATTATTTGCATTTCTTGGCCACCAACGCTGTTCTTCAGTAAGAATCGAGGAACACAAGTCGTGACCCAAGTATTCAAGTTGATTCTGGAAAATGAAAATATTTGAGGATAGGTCTTTGCTGTATTTGTAATTGAGCCTTTAAAAAATGTCAGATTACTCCTGAAATAAAATGGCAACATCCACGTGATTTAAAGATACCAGTTACTATGTCCATGCATCCGTAACAATCAACTCTTAGATGAATAGTTATATATTTGTAAATATGATTCGATAATACATATAAATTGGGCTGAGTTTAAACTTGAGACAAATGGTTAAAGAAAGCATATGAACAGGAGTATGTTATGTGAACCAAGATGGCGGACAACGGGACGTAGTATGCGTAACAGGTTAGGCTCATAATTTCAGGCACAAATACTATAAGAGGCACTGGGCTAGTCCCCGAACTCGTAATAGAACTAAAATAAGACAAATTGGAATAGAATTATGGCCTAACCCTAAGCAGGTACACAAACTACGTCCCGCCATCTTGGTTCACATACTTCGGGAGTACCCATTTAAAAACATACGGTAAATATACGTTAGAATAAATATAAAACAACAGACCAATTGTTAGAGTAAGCATATAATGTAAATTTGTGGTATATTATGAGTCAGGATAGATACAAAACTCCCGATAATCGGTTAGAGTCAACATACAGGGTATCCATAACATCCCTTTACAATTTGAATTTTGTTATGAAGTCAGTTCTCAATATATCTTAACCAGGTTTGTTGTGTTTTAATCAGTAACTATTTAAGTATTTTTACTTCTGTGAGGGCGAAAGTACATACATCTGTGAGGGCCAAAATAATACATGGTATCGATAAACTCCCTTTGCAATTTAAAAAAAATGAAAGACTTCATGGACGCGCTATATATTAAGTAAGATCCATGAAAAAATAAATGGTTGCGACCACACACTCACGCGCACACTATCGTTGGATATCCACAGCATTCGGAAGATTTATCGCAATCATTTTGTCCAATTTGAATACATCTGGTTTGTATATTCAGGTTCTCATCGGTGTTATCGCTGTGGCTTGAATGAATGCTTAAAATACAATACAATATTTCAGAAATATTCCTGGTATATGCTCTATAACTATGACTGTTTGTGGTTCGTTAAACAAACCATACGGCTTTGTTGTTTATAGGCTAGAATTTTTAATTATCAAGTTACACCGTTTCAGCTAGCCGGAAACGTGGGGGTTTCAAGAGCCTCGAGGGTCTAAAAAATGTTCCAAGCTACGGAAGATTGCTATGTATGCTTCAGTATTTCACGCCTTTCACCCCCCTGTAACAAGCCCCCCCCCCCCAAAAAAAAAACATAATCCAGGTAAATTGGAACATTCTTGAGAAAACAAAAGTTTTACGCAAAGTGTCCTGAATTACTAAAACGTCTGGGTGAAATCGTACACAAACAGAAGTTCATCGGATGTTGAATAATTGTTTTCATGTCCGCAGAAGTAATTAAAAAATTTATGTGTTTTGCTTTGGGGTCATCCTATACATATAAACATCGAACCATACCTCTCCTCCGGGTTATTATCAGAAACCTCCACAACGGCAGCGGGATCCACATTCTGTTAAAAATTATCAATTTTGAGTTTTCATGGCATTAAATAAATAAAATAAATATTTACTGAAAAATTTATTTACTTTTGTATTTATATTCAGACCTATTTAAGGTTCTATACCATGAAAACTATTTTCTACGGGTCCGGCCTTTCGCTGAAACTTTTGCTGTTAATTTTTTATTCACGAGAACACTTTCTAAAATTCTCCTGTCTATATATTTGAGCACTGCTCTCTTGTAATAATAAAATGAAAAGTATAACTAACCTTTTCAGATAAAGAAAGAGCGTCCACCAAACATATCGTAGCGCAGATGTAGAGAACAAGTTTGAAGAATTTATCCGAAAACATTCCCAGGCTTTGGTGGTTTATCTGACTGCAATATGTCGGAATAAACACACGCGCCCAACATATATACCTTGTGATGTTTATTTTGTATTTGAGTATTTTGTGTTTTTCAAAAAGCGGTTTGCCGCGTTATCTCAGATGACGTGGGTAGAGAATTCGAGCAACGAGAAATTTTAGAAATTCGCAATCTTTCAGATTTGAGATTGCCACTCAGTTTGCAATAGTTTTTGTGAAAAGGATCTGAAAACTAGCATTTACATCTAGAATATATATATATATAATGAATATGTGCCCAGTAGAAACTGCGAGTACATGCGATTCTATCATAATGAGACTTAAGACGTTGTATAATCTTCCTTGACACTCTGTTGACCCAAACCCTATAAATGAGAAAAGCAATTACGTATGGAAGGCATACACTATTGATAACAGAATGTTTGTATTTGGTGATAACATGAAATATTACATGAGTGTGACAGATATCACACAAATTATTATATAAGCAACGCATATAAGAGTTCGTTTATCTTGATTGTGTACATTGCTTTTAAGCTCGAGTCAGTGCTAACCATAATTTTCTTAGAAGCGTACGACAGAGAGAGAGAGAGAGAGTTTATTCCATTCGTCAAATTATAAAACACACAATATATGCAAACACATATAAACAATAAATAGACAGATGCTTGGGTGTATGACTGAGAGGAAATGATACGACCCTTTGGGGTCATCAGAGTCTGTTGCCACCAATACAATTATATTGACGAACATTTTTTTATTTGTAATCATATTTTTATTAGATGATCTCGCCAATTGTGGCGAATTTACACCCAATCCCGCCCAAATTAAGTCATTCTATCTTAAACCGTGTTGAGACGGCAAGGTCTGCGGTACATCAGTGTCAAATGTGTACTGAGCCATGGCACTACGCGCCACCATTAAAACAATCCGCAGGGAGAAAGTGTCTGGTTTTCATATAATTGTGTACGTATTGAGTTGGGAGAAAGCGAGTCCTCGTATTGTTTTGAAGGTATTAACGAAAATAGATAAGCGATTTGACTCATAGGTACTAACTGGATTTTAAAATACAAATCTAAACTTATTTTCATTTAAAACCTAAACGTGCCACGAAAGTTTTTATAACACAATCAATTATTAAGGTTATTCACCTTTGAGATTGTATAAACATACAAAACATTTACAACTGAGCAAAATTGTTGCCAACGAAGCAGGGGCGTCAAGGGCAACACGTTATAAGGGTGAGTTTGTTGCTCTGTTTGGTGATTTAAACAAAAATAATACAAATAATTCACTCTTACGTGACCTTCAATTTATTTATTATCGTGCATAACAACATCTACTATTTGTTAAGCCCCCAGATAGTTTTTGAAGTTAGGTATAAGGGGCACCATTATCAGAAACTCGCCCCACGCAGTAGAAAAGTTTGACATGCAACTGCAATAAAACCATATTAAAATACGCCGGAGTATCGAGGACCGCTGGGCAAGATGTTTTATCATGTTGCCTCTCCCGATTCCTCCTACGTCATACTTCGAAGCGAAGTTGCGTGGGCGTGTAAACTCTGCATAAAGTGCATATACGATTGCAGCATTTGCAACAAGGACATTTGAAGTTTAGAATTAATTGCCTTCCTGCGTGCAAGTTAAGTATGTTTGATATTTACTCTGTGTCTAAATAAAGTATGTGAATAAAGCATCTGGGGTAGGAGTGTCGAGGAAGGTTTGTTTTGACCCAATTAAAGGGCGCTCCAGAAGTGTGTGTACCAATATGGAGATAACTAATTTTGTTCGTCTACTTGAAATCAAATTGTGTAAAAGGAGTGAAACCTATGGACAGGGGGTATATTCCCTTCGCTAACACAGACAGTCCCCAAACTCGTAATAGAACTAAAATAAGGAAAATCGGAATAAAATTATGCCCTAACCCTAACCTGGTACTATAGGGTTGGGCATTTTCGAATACCTGATGATTCCAGAATCGAATCGAATATTTTTCTCAAATCGAATCTCAAATACTTGTAAGCCAATGGAAGATATGTTATTGCAATGACTTTTTTCATTGTAATTGATCCTGTCAATAAATGAATTACTGGAAACAAAGAATACATACATCACTTGGACAGATTACTGAGTGTGCACACACAATGAAAAACACTTATTTATCAATAATTCACTACAGAAAATAGTCATATGTCAGAATTGCATTGAATAAATAGGGGTTCAATAATAAAAAAAATGGGGAATTCACCTCGACCATTGGTGGAAAAAAAAAACAAGATGGCGGCGTTTTGCTCTGAACCGATTCGAATCATTTACTATTCGAATCGATTCGAATATGGTACTATGGTATTGTACCATGAACCGCAAGTCCTTTCTCCTTGTTTACTTCTTCGGATCCGTATGTGTCAGTTGCCACAAGGATGCTTGAACGAAATGAAGGATCAATGATAAAAGCATAATCTCGAAATAGCAAATTTGTAAGCTTTCGTTAGATCATAGTCTAACTTCGTCAGACAAGATATAGCTGCAAATTTTTCTATTCTTAGTTACCGGATTAAAGGTCAGCCTACAATTCCACTCAATCTTCCACAAAATATACAACGCGACGTCCACGATTGACAAAGCGCGAATCTTAGCAATAAAAACTTGGAATTTGGAGGTAATAATCCGAATCTGGAATCTTTTGTACAAATTTTCGCCAACGATGATAGTAAGGCAGGTTTCGCAAGTAATTCAAATCATCTCCCACCCTAACCTGGACTGGATGATTACTAATTTTCCATTTCAAAACGTTGTGGGGGTGTTTGTACAAATTATCCCATATCTGTTGTTGTTGTTGTTGTTGTTGTTATATGTTTTATGGCGCTTATAATTTCAGTGGTCTTTTGCGCCTTCGATCAATTCAAATTTAAAAATACTTTACTAACATATTATACAATATTTATGAATATATAATTATACAATTGAATCAATTACAATAAATAATTATTTCTAAACATTTCTGCCCGTAGACAAAACAAATTCGAAAAAAGTGTCAATAATGTCCATGTCACTAAGCACTTCTTCCAAAGTCATTTCCAATTTAAGTTTTATGACTTTGCTAATGACTGGGCTTCTTTGATGGTTATATCGTTGACAATGCGATAGGTAGTGGGCTATGGTCTCGGATACGAAACACTGTTCGCAAAATCCGTCAGAATGACAGCCAATTTTATGTAAATGTGCATTCAGGGCGCAATGACCAGTTTGCAGTTGGAATAAAAGAACTTGATATTTACGTGATAAAGTTCCGTTTTCTAGTCGTGACATCGTCGTAGGATGGAATCTTTTATAATGGCTTGTCATTTAAAGTTGACATTAACCCACGTAATTTTGCACATTGAAACACACTACTATTCGGAAAAATATGGATACATGGAGTCTTGATATAATGGTATTCAGCCGTTCATCTCGCGCCCTACCTAAAAATAACTAGCTAACAATAAACTACAAATAACAGATGGTAAGGCGGAAGCATGTTTTATTCAAAAAACACGTTGAAAATACGTGGATGGAACGTAAAGATCCGACATTAAAAAATGCAAATATCCAAAATAAGGCGGGCTAGATCAAGTATAACAATTATTTTTATTCTTAATACGCTTCAATCCCCCTCAAAAAGTTGTCGCTCAAACTGCGCCCCACCACTGATGTAGAATATATTGACAATTCTAGTATACCAATTGCATATATCAGCACAATCCCCTATTTCAGAACACCATTATCGTGAAACATAGTATAACTAGTACCATATCGTTGGGTTTGATTATTTGAGACAGTCAACCTGGACAGAGAAAGAAGGTTCGCGATTGAGTTGATCGCTTTTGAGTTTTGAATAAAGGTGGGTGAAATAAGAGTATTATACTCAAATATATGAATATATGAAATCTAGCGAAAATCTAGACTAGATCTAGAAAATCTACTTCTCCTCGCGAATAAAACAATCTTCAACCAATCAAATTCCAGGGCAGTTGGTCCATTAGTTGAAGAGAAAAGCGATTTTTCGTAACGATAAGAAGAAAAATACCAAGAAGGACAACATAATAAGTAATAACGAAACGATCCATAGGACCACTTCGTGTGTTATACCTGACGTGAGCTCATTAAACGACAACAATATGTAACTCTTAAGATTAAAATATTGCTATCTGTCACTTAAGAAGATATGAGTTTGTTATCGCACAATTGTCATACGGGTACCTATCTGATGCCAATCACACGAAGCCCTAAAGTGTCATAACAATTTATATCGGGCAGTCAAATATATTTCAGTATAATAAGCTCGTTCCGCTATTATATGCATCAGACATGATTGTTGCCACTTATGAAATATCTGAAATATCTTAATGAAATATCTGTACATCCACTGATTCATACAATTTCATTTTCGAGGTTTATAACCCACTTCATCAAACAAGGTTTTGACAAGCCGAAACTAATATATAGAGAAAGATCTGTTGTAACATTTCGGTGACCTCGGTAACTTCGCTCATTGTTTTTTTTTTTGTGAGTTTTTATGAAACTACACTGCGGATATATAATGATGACTCATTTTTAGGGCTGGGCATTTTCGAAACACTAGTGTTTCGAAATCGAAACGAAATTTTGCCTTCGAAACGAAATCCAAACGAAACGAAACACACGTTTGTCATAAACAGTAAAATATGATGCCATTATTACCCATCGAATTTAATGTATAATGACATATATTTTCTACAATTAAATCCACGAAAGGATAGCACTGGATGCTAATTCGAGAGGATAAAACGATAATGATAATTCCACGAATTTTTCTGCTCAATGACAAAGCAACGGCCAAATGGCACCAGGACAATACGAATTACGTCATTGTTAGAGATGGGGCTCACAAGCAGCATAGCATGAGGCCTCTCAACGTCTCAATGCGGCCCTGCCCCCATCTAATGTAATGGGTGGGGTCATTTTCTAATTTATCCGATGCCACAAATCCTTGTGATCCAGTTTGGTAATTATACCAGGGAGAGCCATAACCGAGTACCTGAATATTTCAAATACATTCTGGAAAAAGATATTTTTGAATCTTCCGAATTCCGAATACATTCTAAACTCCAGGAACATAGGAATTGGGCTTTTATCCATTGAAATTAGTTATTTTTTTGCTCTAAGGAAATAGACTTGGTAAACATTACAGTATTTATGAATAGTGGTGTATCTTGGCAAGCACAGAAAAAAGAACAATTAGGTGAAATGTTTAAATTATACAGTAAAATCAACATTAACTCGGATTTATCGTCAGCGTGACATCGACATCGTTGAGCTAAATTTGATTTGATTTTAGATTTATTGCGCAATTACCCAGACTATCTCGACTATGTTGAAATATACCATAATAATTGTAAAATATTCTCAATTAAAAACTTGCTCGACATGTTATAAGTACTTCAAGTCGGCGCTGACTTAAATCCTTTTATGTCGGCAGTAATTTATTGCGCCTCGCAAAGAGTGTCTTCGAATACGATAAAACATAAAATGAAATGATTGTAAAAATTCTCAATCAAAACGTGGAAGGCGGTGCTAGGACGTTTGCGCGATATTTAATATTCTTATAAACACTAAAAACGCTATTTGAGAGTCACGATATCCGAATAAATTTGGATATTAAATTCGAATTGGACATCCCTGAATGATACCTTAACTAATTTCAGGTTGCATTTGCTATGACGTCATAATATCCGTTTCGAAGGTCGAAACGCCGCCGTTTCGACATATCGGTGTTTCGAAACAGTGTTTCGAAACGCCCAGCCCTACAGTCATTTTATTTTCTGGAAACATTAGATTTACGCATTTTATTCCTGAAATTGTTATCTGTATATCTGTATACGCAATATGTACACTGTATAAATATGTCTAGAACAGATAGTAAAATCGTATTTCTTATATACGGTGTCCATAAAGTCTTAGAAATTTTCAAAATTGCAAAGGGAATTTATCGATACCATATATTGTTTTGGCCCTCACAGATATATTAAATGAAGTAAAAATACTTAAACAATTGGTTATTAAAAAACAACAAACCTTGTTAAGATATATCGAGAACTGACTTCATAACAAAATTGAAATTGTAAAGGGACTCACTTTATGGACAACCTGTACATCTATCCATCTTGTATAAGTTGATAATCGATACACTTGACGGAATTGGACGCCGCATAAATCTAGATCTGTGTTGAAATACTACAAAGGGGTAATGGAGTAAGAGTCGCGCGTTTTTTGACCGGTTCGTATTTTTTAAAGCCTCGTTGCCTAATAAACATTTTCGATAAATTCAGCTTTGCTAACGATATGTAACACGCTATATATATATATACTTCCCATTATTAAGGTTTGGCATAAACCAATATTTCTCCAAATTTGTTTAATTTCAGCCGTGATATTCATAACTTTATGCATAATTTGGAAGTATTATAAAAGTGGACAAAAATATTTATCAGCAATTGTCAATAAATTGAAATATTATTTACGGAATGAAAAATTAAACGCTACGTTTTTTGACGCAAAACAATATCAACAGGCCAGCATACTTCGCCGATACCGTTCACCAACAAATTTCCAGTTTTGCCCTCATATTTTTATTCATTATTAAACGTCATACTCTGCCAATCACATGGTCGATAAAAGCACGAGGTTTTGATTTCAAAGGTTATTTTCGGTCAAATTTTGCGAGGTTACAAGCGGTTATGCAAGAACGGCTGATTGTGAAATAAATTGCTTGAATATTTTATCTTTTTGGTACAATTATAATACAATATTTGCGAATATATAATTATACAAATGAATCAATTACAATAAGTAATTATTTCTTAACATTTCTGCCCGTAGACAAAACAAATTCGATAACAGTGTCAATAATGTCCATGTCACTAAGCACTTCTTCCAAAGTCATTTCCAATTTAAGTTTTCTGGATTTGCTAATGACTGGGCTTCCTTGATGGTTATATCGTTGACAATGCAATAGGTAGGTGGGCAATAGCGATGATACTGTTCACCAACAAATTTCCTAATTTGCACTCATATTTATATTCATTGTCAAACGTCATATTCTGCCAATCACATGATCGATAAAAGCACGAGATTTTGCTTGAAAGTTTATTAGCGGTCAAATTTCGCAAGGTTACAAGCGGTTATGCAGGACTGGCTGATTACGAAATAAATTACCTAATTATTTTGTCTTTTAGTTATCGTCGATGATTTCCTATCGTTTTAATTATGGCACCGAATGTTCTGTTATATTAGCCCTATCTGAACGACAACACAAGTCGTATTTTACGTTCGTTTTTCGTGTTTGGAGACTTATCATTTAGTTTTAGAGCAGTGGTCTCAAATTTTTAGGCGCCCCCTGCTTCGAATTTGTCAAGTCTCGCGCCCAACATCAAAAATAACAAGCTAACAATAAGCTACAAATAACAGATAGTTAGGCGAAAGTATTTTTTATTCAAAAACGCGCAAAAAATACATGGGTGGAAGGTAAATATTCAAAATAAGGCGGGTAAGATCAAATCTGACAAATATTTTTTATTTCTCTTCATGTCCCTTTAAAAAATTGTCTACGCCCCCCTCCCCTCCCAAAGGGGCGCGCCCTATCGTCTGAGAACCACAGAATTAGGGAGGTTGTACTGTCAACCATTGCGAATATATATCGATAATGTGAGATTGATATCGGAAAAATTATGATACTCGTACATTGGCAATTCTTGCTGGGCCGTCAATCATTCATTTATACCCAGTTCCGAAATTTTTGTTTTCTCATTTAGGTTAGACTTCGAGAACGTAGCTAACCTAAATGATTATTATTTTTCGTTTGGGCCTCTGTTCCGGGCGATGACGTATAAAAGAAGCCATTGATATCGAACAAACAATATCTTAAAAAATCTCTTCACAGACTTTGCTTCACTGTCGAACTTATTCAAGCTATATACGAGGATAACGAGCGCATATCTTGGTTTTCTCATTTGAATGAAGGAATTTTGATAGTGATCCTAAAAACATTGCCTCCCCATCCCCAAGGTGCGCTACGTTAGACATCATCACTGCAGTATTGTTTTTCTGCCATTTTTACTCCGATATACATTTTGTATGTAGCCTACAATTCATATTCCAGCATATTGTAGAAATGAACTACACCGATTACGCTACTTGTTGCTATATTCTCATTCACGGGTATTGTTAATAGTATGAACATTTTCGTCGTTACCAATTGGTGTCAAGAATGATGGATTAATATTGAACGAACCAAACCCAAAGATAAGGAGCGGAGGTGAGACCATCAAACGAAAAATCCAGTAGTCAGTCAGTCAGTCGTTTATTTTTCACCAAAATGAAACATACACGTAATGTGAACAAAAATTAGAGGAAACATAAATAAAGGCATTTCATGGTGAAGGGTGACGCGAAAAAACTTAGTGTCCGTTATTTATATTACCTGACGAAATATTTAACGAGAATATCGGTCGAAAACCGAAGACTTATCGATCGATCCCCCAAAACAAAAACAGACAAATGGACAAATACATATCAACATACTTACCGATCTTAAGATCGATAAGTAATGGAGACAATTATCAATTCTGTTGCGCTAGAATGGCTAGATCGTTAACGATGTCGCCGACCCGATGGCCCGCAGGAAATCTTTCGCGATCCCCTGTTAACGCGTAGGCCAACTAAACAGCGAGTATTAAAAAGAATAGCGGCGCTTGTATTGTGTTTTGGAAATGGTCTATTTAGATAAATCAGATGCCGGGTTTGTGATCGGAATTTTGCATATTTAGAAGCCAATTTCGACGCTTCACTGTCCCTTGTATTTGAAGATAATGTTTCTCGCAAATTACTTGACGACTAAATTGGTTGATTTTGTTACTCGGATTATATACTGTTTGGTTGCACGGCCCTATTGTTCAACACCAGTGCATGCAATCATTATGCTTTCCTGAAGAAGACACGGAATGTTACAGAAATCAATTTCAGTGTGCAAAATCATCATTTAAATCTTCGATGTCGAAGTAATCCAAGCTATGTAATCGCGCATATCCATCTATTTCGGTTTGTTCATTTGAATGAAGAATTTTTGATAGTGATCCTAAAAACATCGCTTCCCTTACCCCTAGCTACGCCTATGTTAGACTTCAGCAGGAGTGTCTGTCTCATTGCAGTATTGTTTTTCGCGTCTCACTTGATGTGATTCGCACAAGCTCAAATATATATATTCTTTGCAACGCAAAGAAATTAAGTTACTCGCACATACTAGATTAAACTAAATTAAAAAGTCGTTTCGCGGGCCGCACACCATTCAAAATTGGCACTTCTTTGCGGGTCGCACAACTTTTCGTTGTGTACCGCATTTGGCCTGCGGGCCGCAGGTTGCATACCCTTGTGCTACATAATAACGGTACGGACAAAACAGACATCGTTGATACCTTCACGAAGAATCTATCATTCGAGCTTTCCTGAATTCATCGATAAGCGACTTAATCAATTAATCGCATGATTAGCAATTGCACGAGGTAATTACTATTTAAGGTTATTATCGATTGAATGCTGAAAAGAAATCTTCGGCGATACAACGTTGTGATATTATTTATGAAAGTGATAATTATGAAATCAATTCGCGTTAAATAAACTTCATTTTCCAGACAGTTAAAATCTGTCACACACCGAATAAAACAAAGAAAGAACCGAGGAAGGGTGCTCATGGAAAGCCAAAGTTGGTCGAAGTATTTTTTATGTATTGTGAGGGAAGAATATAGAGCTGCAAAATAGTCAGGATGAAACGAGAAAAGTTGAGTGCCAATGGTCAAAGCAATTGTCCAATATAATAATCCTATTTTTCAACAGAACAAGCGATTGACAGTCAGATCGGGTATCATTTGTGTCAGAGCAAATGTTGTGTCAGTGATGTACGTTATCATTTTCGGATTAAATATTAGTATTCAATCTTATCACATATTTTATCGACTGTCATGCTGATATGAAATCCATACAATTATACCTATTACACTATATTTTATATAAGATATCTATAATCTGAAGCAGCGCAACAGCTTTACACGATTACACGGGTAGCTATTTCGTTGAATTAGCTTGGTAGTCGGGCGAGAGATCGTCTTTGTCTCGCGGTAAATCCATCATCCGCGTTACTGCTCGATGACTAGTATATATTGATTTTTCCTTCCTTGCTTCAATTTTACTGCATGTACAGTGCGTGTTTACAGCATGCTGATGAATAAAAAAACTGATTGTGTTCCATCAGTATTCCTCTTCTCCCATGGGTAAAAACGATGAAAGTTTCTATTTTATATTCGCCGCAAGGTGTCGCTATGTACTAAAGGAGGTGTGACCAAAACAAAGGTTACTATCGGTCACACACAAACAGACAAAAGACGATGTCTGTGGTAACTATAGAACGATTTAGTTGCATAATATTGTCGTCAGAGTTTCAGAGTTGTGTTTTTGTTTGCTTGCATATGGTATAGCCCGATACGGTTAAGGATATGACGGGAAGTTTTTTTGGTAGCGGTACCGTGAATCACATGAACATGAGACGTAAGACACACCAAACAGTGCATTGTTTTGCTGACGTGATGACTTTTGATAGTCTTTTCGCGATCCCTCGGCTATGCAGTTCAAATATTGTACTTTTTTCTTTCAATGAATTTATTTGATTTTTACCGTTTGTTTAAATGTACAATGTTTTTGCGAGACGAAAAAATAAATATCTGAATCAGAGTGTGTTAGACGCCCGAATACAGGAATAATACGCGTTCGCGTTTTTGATCTACATTCATTTTTTCATGTCAGCATGTGTAAGATGCTGAGATGGGTGAACTGGCACATGTATTTTTACATGTTTTAAAACTTTATTAACCGTTTTGCTAGTTTTCCCAAACGTTTGTGTGTTCATTGTTTTGTGATGTTTTTTTTTGGGGGAATCAAAATAAACTTATACTTTATAATAAGGTAGTAGTGGCCATAATACAGTAATAGTCAAATAGTTGTCAGTATCTGTGATGTGCCTTGGTTAGGCTTTTAAGAGTTTCAAAATATTTTATTTTCGAATTAGAATGTTACGATTTAAATATTTCCAAATTTGATTCTGTTTAGTATAAACCATATTATCATTGACTTTCTTTAATTTTTCAATGACTACAGAAAAATTTGTTATTATATGATAGTGATAAACTAAAGAATTGTAAAGATACTTTCTGAAATATTATTTTTTTTATATAGAATCTAGCCATTTTTTTCCGATATCCGGATATTGCTTAGAATTGATGTTGAGTTGCCTTGTGGTATTTCAGTATTTAATTCTCTTTTCATTAGTTTTAGCCTGTCACGAAAAAATGAATATATATTCCGAGTTTCTATATTAAAAGTATATAATGTCATTTCTTGGTCCCAACATGCCTAGTCAGTATTAAACTTTGTATTTTTGTGACTTTACATAGTGAATCAACACTCTAAAATGTGTTCCCTAAAAAACTTTTTTCGTCGGTCTGATACAAGAAAAATGTTAACGTTGTGGATATATTGTAAACAAACCTGTCACTGTAGGAGATTTGTGAGAAATTGTTGTTTTAACTGTTTATTTTATTAGTTTTTAACAGATTTTATCTATAAAAGTTCACTGTATTACTAAAATGGAAACAACAAAGATTTTTACATTTTTTATCTCGTTTATATTGATTTTGGGAAATACCGCGGCTACTTCCGAAGAAAAGTTGGACAGAAAACTACATTTTAACACATTTGATAAAAATGATTACAAGAAAATAGCATCGAATATCAACGCAGGTGAAGTTCAACGCAAGCCTATTGTGCTTGTGCCTGGTGTTCTCGGGAGCCGATTGCAAGCCAAGTTAAATTTGAGTTATTCGCCAGGATGGCTTTGTGAAAAAATACGAGACTGGTTTGATATTTGGTTGAATATTGAAGAACTCACACCGTTTTATGTAAATTGTTGGGTTTATGATATTAGTATGAGGTACGACAATCGAACAAAAAAGGTCGCGAACCAGGAAGGAGTAAAAACCAGGATATTAGATTTTGGAAAAACTGAAGATTTTGAATATTTGGATAGTGATCACTATGCCCCAGGAAGTCCGTACTTCACCGAACTCGTAGAATCTCTGATCAAGTTTGGATATAAGCGTGGAGATGATTTAAAAGGTGCTCCTTACGATTGGCGAATCACTCCGTCACAGAGTACGGGTTTTCTTCAAAACCTAACTAAACTGATAGAAAATAATTATTACGAACATTTCAATCGTAAAGTTGTCCTAATTGGACATAGCATGGGAAATATGTTTACGTATTACATGCTACGCACGAAACCACAGGAATGGAAGGATAAATTTATCGATTCATTTATTTCCATTAGTAGTCCGTACATTGGCTCAGTAAAAGCAGTAAAAGCCATCACATCTGGAGAAACAGAGGGCCACGATTTTGCTCTTCCTAAATTGAAGCTAAGAACTGCAACTCGTACTTTTTCATCATCATACTTTCTTCTACCTCGCCCTAAATTTTGGCCAAAAGACAAACTTCATGTTGTTGATACATTGATTAAAAATTATACAGTGTTTGAATACAAGGCTCTATTTGAAAGAATCGGCTGCAAAAATTGTTATGAAATTTGGGATAAATATGGCACTGAACTTGGGGATATGGGACCTCCAAATGTGCCAGTACATTGTGTTTATTCATCACAAATACCGACACCAGAACTTTTGATTTACGATCCCGATTTATTTCCTGACGGTACACCGGTATTAAAAACTGGCGACGGTGATGGTACAGTGAATGTTTTCAGCAGTTCATATTGTCTGAAATGGAAAAAATCACAGAAACAGCCTGTATATGAAGTATATTTACCTGGCAACACTCATGTTGAAATTCTCAACAATGCAACTTTACATAACTACATTAAAAAAGTGGCAACCTTGAATCAAGGTGCTAAACTGGACAGGTTCGACACCTTATAACACGTTTCATAACATTGACAATTCGGTACTCCAGAAGTATGCGCACCAAGATGTCGCATAACCTAGTACACAACCTGAGTTCAGGTTGTGCGCCATCTTGGTGCGCATACTTCAGGTGGTCCGACAATTCTACTGTAATTAATTTATTATGCACTTTATTCATGTCTGGTTCAGTGTTAAATATATGAAGTAACAACAAAAATGTATGTAGATTCGTTTTGTTGGACATATTATGTTTGGAATAGCCACCCCACACCCAACAATGAAAAATAACAGTCCAGCCTAAATATGTCCATTCCAGGCAGCATATTTGGTTCAGGTGTTCACTTTTGGTTTAGTTTTTTGCCTTCCAAATGTCCATTATTCCTAATATTATGTTGCTTAAAGCAATGAAGAATTTTATGGTATCCTATATTTAAAGTAAATACTACACATTTTGAATAGCTAAATTGAATTTTAGAGATTATTTTCCAAGTATTTCACTGGTTACTTAGATTCTCTGCTGCTTTGTTTCAATGTCTTGTAGTTAACTAGAACATGTTTTAATTCCTAAAACAGCTCTGCATGTCTCGTTTTATTTTTTTTTCGGATGTTTTATTATTAATTGTCGCGCATAAAATTGTATCATCAATAAGAGAATAGTTGTGCAGTTAGTCTAATGTTGAATATGACTGAAAGTGCAATTTCTCATAGATTCCTTAATATATGCCCCCCCCCCCAAAAATAAAAAAAACATATGCTACTCTTAGTCTTTCAAACCTTCATTTCAAAAAAGTTCTAGACCAAGGGCTGGCAATTACTTTTCCGAGTGGGCCAGTCACAGATATTAGACTTGGTTACTGGGCAGGAGACTCAAAACTCAATATGAAACTTTGAATGAAAAAGCTAGGCCAACGTTTATATAATAATAAGCACAATATAACAATCGACGTCATTGTGACGTTATTTATATTAAAAAACTATAGCTTAGTCATAATTTCAGCAAACATTTTGGTGGGACGGATCCGGCTCATTGGCTGTAATTTGCTCATCCCTGCTCTTGATATCTATCCATTGTTATGGAAGAATAAGATACTGGTTTTTGTTATAGCCATGTTCTTTCCTGTTTGGCCCACACAATTTATTACACATTGGGTGGTATGTGGGTTTGGAATATAATCAATAAGATATAATGTATCACAATATTGTTGCTCAAATACTTACTCGTTTTAATGCTTCATATAACTTTGGAAAACTCTTATCCATTGCTATTAAATAATTTAACACATTTTTTGTCACCATAAATACTAATAGATATCGATAAGCTTATCCATAGTCACACATTACACTATTATATTATACATGATAGATAGCAATAACTGGTTTAAAGGTGTTACATACAGTATAAGAAATTAGGTAAGCTGTCTGCTGTTTTCGAAATGTAGCAGGCTAGCAGCCTCCAAAACCGATGCAACATGAATGATGAATCATTTAATAAAAAACTTATATGGCTGATGAGATTGATTGAAATTGCTTCACTAACATATAGGTTTTCTTTGTTTATTGAGCTCTTAGTTAGGGCTCGTTATTTCCACTCTTCAGAAAATTTTTACAGTAAATCATTTTTCTATCTTTTGTATAAAATAATTTTTTCATGTTGTCTCGTTCACCAGTTTTATTGTAGAGCTTTCACCTACTTTTTTATGGTGCGTAAATGGTTAAGCAAACATGTCTGACTGTTTGTGATCAATAGCGAGCATGTGATCAAATATTTATGTAATTCTTTTTATAGCCTTTATAACATTTGGAACCACGATTTCATGTTTTGAAGAAAGATTTCGCAACCATGTTCTTTGTTACAAAATTATGACAATTTTGTTATAAGAACCTCATGTATCCTATATACAGCATGTACAAAAAATTTTGCCTGATTTTATAGTAATAATAATTGAAAATTTCGTCTTTGCTTTTTTAATAGTTCCTACGGACTACGGTGCTTGTAGCTCTTGTCTTATTTATCCTACAATAAATTTATTTAAATTTTCATTTGTTATTACTTTAAAATCAGGCAAATTTATCTGGACACTCTGTATACTATGACTTCTATAAGAAGGTCGTCATGGGCATTTTTGCATTTATTGCGTCTATGGTTGAATGAGTAATTTAAATTAGTCTATTAGCTGACTTAATAGTGTATACCATACAAACTTATTTTCTTGTTCGATGTATATTAAAACTATTTAGAGTCGAGAAGACTCTTGAATTAAATAGAATAGTCATTTTATTTCTTGCTATATCAACCTTGCATGCTGTATATGCTTAAGGATCTCCACCATTGCAAAGGCATAGGGCAAGAAAAGGAGTTTTGTATTGAGTTTTGCGTAACCCCAACTGATAGTAAAATTGGCATTTTTGTTTTGGTAGTTATTGGGGGAACATTAATCTTGACAATGTTACTTTTTATTGAAGGTACCTTTATTCCTTTTGTTCAAAAACTTGCTTTATCACAATCCAATCCTTTTCCATATTTATATCATGAACATCTGACTTTGTGTTTGTTTGAAAAACAAACAATATTGTGAGTTTTGATAAAGGACAATCAGGTTAATTTACCCAAAGAGAATTTTTTGAAAATAACTTATAAACTATATTTATATACTTTAAGTATTGTCTTCGGTCACGATCCTAATATAAAACGCTGGGCTTGTTCGTTGGATAATATCTAAAAATCTTTCGTAAGACAATTTTAAATATTATTGGACACTGCTTGTGCTTGATAACCAATGCCAAATGTTGAAAATCTGTATTCTGAAAATGTAAAAATCAATGTTTAACTAAAAGAAAATAATTAACTTTCTAAAACAATATTCTTAAATCTGGATAATTGAAGAGTTTTGTAGGCTGACGATTATAGGTCTTTCCAGTGATCAGCAGTCAGCACAAATCATTACTAAGTCAGTCAAAGTGCCTGACAAAATTTTGAATGGTTTAAATCGAATAGCTGCTATAGAAACTGGTTCAGAACATGAGTAGCATGCTCGACATTGTACTGTTTTTATTTGTAATGAATTATTTATTAAAATCTTTCGAATCAGGCCAAGATCTCTTCCGTTAGAAGTGAAACAATTTTTTGCCTCCATAATTTACCTCATGAGAAAAATCCTAGCCATTTATTTATTGTGACTACTGGACATGTTCGAATAAACTATTTCTAGCCATTAACTGGCTATTTGTTGTATATAAATTTCATGTGATATTCTCAATTATTGAAATATTGATAATTTGTGTTATTTTAAATTATGCAGATAAAGCAATAAAAATCTCATTTGTACATTGGTGTATGTTGTCAAAAGCTTGAATGTAGTGTTGTTTGGAATAATAGACTATGGAACTTAATTGAAAACTAAGTCATAGCGCATCCTGCTAATATGCTGTCATCACACTTCTAATTGATTACCTTCCATGAGTTCGTAGGTTCGAATCTCATGAGCGATATTTAAATGCAAGAGGATTGACAGACTCCCCGTCGTAGGGTGGTTCACATAAGTAACCGGTGGTCTGTTATAGAATCCTCTACCATCTAGTCCACGCATTTAAAACTAATAACTGGCTAGTAAATTCCATACCCATCTTATCATCTTTCCCTGGATAAAAATGATATCTCATTCTCAAGTCATTTCTAGTTTTTCAGTCTTCCCAGAGTTCTGTGCACAAGAACTCTGTGTCACCCTTCATTCAAATGACTCTATTTTGAGACTGGCAAATGTTGTCAATACATTATTAAATCTTTTTTAAAATAAAAAGTTTAATAAGTGAATGCGACTTTTTTTCACTGTTGCTTTCAATGTCAACTATGCATCAAACCTGTCATGCGATTTGAAAAAAAATGCGACCTGGGAATGAAGCTGACTTGACTCAAGTTTCGATTGACCCATGAGTCAACTTTTAAAATTTGCTGATTCGACTTGAGGATCTATGACTCGAATTTAAAATATGCTGACTTGTTTCGAGATTCGATTGGTCCATGATCTAGCTGAGATCATGTAATTCAAATATAGCTTTCTGATTTCACTCGAGGCCCATGACGAGACGTGACTTAAATTTTAAAATTCGCTGACTTGTCTTGACAATTGTGATTTGTCTCAGCGTTTGGAATGTACCCAGCATCGATTTATGGTAATACTAAAAAAAACTGTTCTAAATAGATAATTTATTCATTCAAAATTTATCTCACATAAATACACAAACAAAATATATTAACACCATAACTAGGTAAAAATTCAAAAGTACTTAATTGTTCAAGTATTTTCAGAAAATAGGTAAAGACTAGAATCCTAGTAGATTCAGCGAGAAGTGTACAAAAATAGGAAGCAAGGTCTGGCCAATATAATGCCAGGGTCCAAGGACATCTTCAATAACAAAAAACTACTCTTACATTGGCACACCAGTTGACATAAAATAGCAGTCAGTATCCAAACTTGTTAAGACAGGACTTTTGTGTCATTTATTACATAGTTGATTTGCCAGCTTGTGATATAGAAAAGAAAGAAGCCCTATTCATATAGAAAGAATCATGATGTACAGCGTACAGCCTAACGTACCCCCTCTCCTTCCCCCCCCCCCCCCCCAAAAAAAAAAAACAGATTATTTGGAACATATTCTAGAGAGAACATAACTTTTATGCAATGCATCCTAGATAACTAAATTTTTTAGGTACAATCACACACAAAGTTCAAGTGTTAAATAAATTTTCATAGAAATACTTCATAAGTGATTGATAGGTTTAGTTTTTTCGATTACCCTGTACTTGTTAGAATATCACATTAAACAATCAAAGTTATTTCGAAAGCTGGAATTCTGAGTCAAAAATATCAACTGAAGCTTAAAGATCCAAATTTTTTTATCATGTGGTCAAATATAAAATTTCTTGAAGGTATTATAAAGCCAGAGTCTAAATTTTTGTCAACCGGACCAGGAGTATTTTTTAATGGCTCAAAGTAATTAGTTAAATTGTTCTTTTTGTCCACAGATTCATTAATGCCATGAATACTTGATCAAAATTTGTAAAATGGGAAGACATTTGGATTGAAAGGCGAATAGCATCACTGCTAATAATTTGTTCATTTCTGTAGCTAGGTAGAAAACACTAAATCATTCTGCTGGGGGTTCAGATTCCTCAGTTGCGGGTGCGGGCTCTTCTTCAGTTGCAAGTGCTGGTTCTTCTTCAGTAGGGGGTGCCACACCCCCTTCCTTTTCTGTTGTATCTTCAGCAACCTTCTCTTCTTCCGTGGGTTTTGCTGCGTCCTCTGTTTCAGCTGGGGTTTCTGATACAGAAGCCTCTCCACCTTCTGTTGTGGCTGTCACTGCAGCAGGAGTGTTTGCCCCCTGAAAATCAATAATACAGATGAATAGTATTGATGTCTACTTTGCGGTTATGGTGGCCTAGTGTAGGCATGTGCAACCTACGGCCCACAAAAAAAAATGACTCAAAGAAAAGTGCAAATTTTCAATGATATGCGACCCACGGACGAATTTATAATTTAGTTCAATCTGTTATGTGAATTCCAATCCCTTTGTGGCACAAAGCCTATACCTAAGTACAATTTATTATCTATGCATATGATGTTTGACAGTTAGCTTGTGCGAAGCAAACAACACATGTCATAAAATCAATAACCATTTTTGTGCCTGCAACCAGTAGTGGGATTCAGCCGGTTCTATAGAACTGTCTCACAGAATTTTATGACATCTGCGAATCGGTTAGCATTACATGACTTTTTGTAACAGAATTGCCTGAAAATATGACATTTGTGTGATGGAACCGGCCGACAAAAAATTTGAATCCCACCACTGCCTGCAACTACTCTACAAAGCTCATGTTGAATAAAGGTGCGCCCACGATTTCATCCAGTTATTTGTATCAGGCCCACTTTCATTAAACACCCCTGCATACCCCTGGCCGAATGGTTAAAATGCTAGACGATGGCATCGCAGATTCAAATTCTCTGTAGCCACCTCACCAAGGGTGTAATAAATCGGGTAGATAATGCCGACCGGGAAAATTTCAGTCCTTCCAAACTATAATAAATCCCTACCCTTGTACAGAGTCTTGTTCAGAAGGAAACGTGTGTGAATACGTTGTATAAAAAACTTCTGACTAGAATATGAATCCTGGGTGCCCGTATATTGTGATAAATATTTGCTTGTAATATGCCTTCAAGGCCACTAATAAGGTGAATGATTCAGCAAATCTCAAAATTATCAGAGCAAAGCAAAATGTATAGAGAATAAACATTTGTGCAAACAAGATCAAATGTCTTTGAGGCAAGAGCTCATTATTAAATCATCAACCTATCATTCTGGTGTTTTTTATATTACTCCAGGGTATTTGTGGCATTCTTCTGAACAAAGCCAATGCATACGGACTTTGCCTTGGAATTATTTTTGCTCAAAACCAGGTCGAACATCCAGTCATAAATAATTCAACAAGTTTAAAATTGTTACATTGTGTCTTGGTTGATTCAAAGCTGTAAAAGTCCTCCCTTATACATTTATTGATTCCATATTATAATATGCAGGGTGTCCATGAAGTCTTAAAATTTTTTATAATTGCAAAGTGAATTTATCGATACCATATATTGTTTGGCCCTCACAGATGTATTAAATGAAGTAAAAATACTTATTAAACAATTACTGGATAAAAAACAACAAACCTGGTTAGTGGTTAAGATATATTGAGAACCGACATATACAAAATCAACCTTATGGACACCTTAAACACCTAGCACCTAGAAGCGCTCTGGGCAATAAGCCACAAATTAGTGTAGCCAAAATACAAACCCCTTTTTTAAACATAGATACATCATTTACATCTATCTGACATGAGGCTCAGGATGTCGCGTTCTATCACCTCTCAGATTCTCAAAGATCCAGTTGCGTATTATATAATTGGTTGATTATTTTGATGTTATGGCTGCTCTGAATAAGTATTAGGGCAGGCAGACATGTTATAAGAAGTATATCATATCACTGTCTATCACTTTGCTGGTATCTGCACAATTTAGTACATCCTGGTGGATATTTTCTTCGTTAGAATTTGCAGCTCCTTTGCTATCACTGAACAAATCACCTTCCAATACTGTCTTCATTTAGTTTACATTGGTGATACAATCGAAAAATTACAATCAAACCATATACATATAACAATTAATTGCACCCAAAATAATCACAAATTCAGAATGATTTCTACAAAAATACTGCATTCAAAACTGCAACGCGTCTAGGGGAAATTTTCTAAAATATGTAATACAGTAATATATATATGGAACTATGTAAAGCAGATATACAGTCATAAAATCAGACAACTGAGCAAAAAAGGAGTTTATAGTTGAAGAATGGTCACAATCTAAAATTCACTCAAGATGTTATACAAAGTATTAGATGAAACAATATCAAATCGATATACCATCGATATCTGATGTTTTTGACAATTTGTGGATTTTTCAATTATATGAGTATCTTCTCCTAGCAAGGTCAGGTGTGCTCATTCAGAGTTGGAGAAAACCCACACGTTTGACTATTGAAATGGGCTACAACGAAATACAGAAAAGTATTACAAATATGAGATTGAAAAATAAGCTTTCCAGACTAAATTTATATGGTAAAAATCTTACAATTTTATGGAACAGACAAAATAAAAGCATTTGAAGTTTCTAAATTGGAATGTTTCTATAATGAAGGATGGTTCAAAACACTGCATTTTAATAGGAAGAACTTTAGATGTGAAAACAACGTAACAAATATTGGTATTGAATTTTTCCACATACTGTCTACTCTGAACAAGGCTTTTGAGCAGTAAGCATAATACAGTATCAGAAATAGATAAAGACACTATATTAAAGAGACATTGATAAGCGAATTCAAAAGAGTGCAAAGGGTGGTATAGTGGGTGCTATACAGGTTATGGACCTCAACCTCAATAGAGCACAAGAAGTTGAATTAAAATCAGTAAGAAGCTTATGCCCAACAGGGCATAAAAAGCTGACAGACAAAAGTAATTTTAGTAAGCATGAGAGTTTACTGAATTTAGTTGAAACATCTCCAATTCACAATGTTCTGTATTTTGATTCGCAATGAAGCATACAATAAGTAAGAATAACGCAACCTGAATGCCATTTCATCTTGATCGATGAGGCAGACTTTATATTTTTCGATTGTTATTATAGCGATTCGACCTTACAATTCATTATAATCTTCATCTTTCTAGTTACCGGTATATAGGGCCATAAAGTCTTGAAACTTTTAAAATTACAACGGCAATTTATCGATACCAAATATTGTTTTGGCCCTCACAGATGTATCAAATGGAGTAAAAATACAATTACTGATTAAAAAACAGCAAACCTGGTTAAGATATATTGAGAACTGACTTCATGACAAAATTGAAATTGTAAAGGGATTTTATGGACAGTCGTTCAGACATCCTTGCGGCAATGGCAACATACGGATCTAAAGTAGGAATTATACAGAGGTCCTGCTGTCGAAAACACATTTACTAGAACTTCAAGTATACTTGAGAAGGTTTTTTTTCGTGTGTGGGGTAAGATAAAATAAAATTTAAAAATTTATTTTTTGCCATGGGATCGAATTTACTGATCTTCCTCAGCGTCATCTTGATCCATCATTTCCTCTAAAGCAGTGTCAATATCCACACCCTGTTCTTCGTGTGCCTTTCCAAACATACGTGTAAACTTAGAATGCGAGCCCCCTCCAGACCTGGGTGGAGATTTAGACGGGTGTGGTGCTATCGAGATTGCTGGGGCTTTTGAACTTTGCAGCACGCTAGGCTGTGCTGATTGTTCAGATAGCATGTACATTGGGGGTGGAGCAGGGGCGTGAACAAAGCTAGATTCTTCATTTTTAAGAGTGGTAAGTGCAAGGCCACTAACTTTTGATGAACTTCCTAACGAGGAGGGCTCTTCTGTGAGATGCAGAGCCACTGATTGCTGTTGAGCAGAATTGGGTCTAGAATTGGAGGAAGGTTTATCACTCAAATCTAATGCTTCCTCTTCTTGTTCAGAATATTCCAACGAGGCAGCAATACCATCAAGAGGTTGGTATGAAGCATCCATAGCTATTGAGGAAGTGTGTTCTAAAGTTACAAGTTTGTTTTCCAACGGCATTGCCGCTGAATCTTCGAACCCATGTAAAGATGCAGTATCTTCTTTGTCATTATCGGCATCCATAGCAGCAGCCATTGATTGGTCAACATCTTCAGGATTGTCCATTTTCATAGCGAACAAGCGTTTATTAATGCCTGCATTACCTTTATACCGTGCTTGTGCATGGCTTTGTTTGAATTCTGAACAATCAGGCTCTTCTTCTTCACTACGAAGAAGTGGAATAGAAATACTTGCTTCAATCTCTGGCTCATAGGCTAGTGGAAGAGACTCCCCTTCAACCGGGTAGATAATAGGGGCCGTTGATGATGTGGGCAGACCAAACATTGCCAATGAAGATGTCTGTTGTAGCGTTTCATCAGCTATTTCGGTCAATATCTCTTTATTTATTTCAGCAGGTTCTCCAATTACTGGTTCAATAGACGACACATTTCCAATTCCATTATCTGGGGTTTGCGCAGGATGGGGAAACTTTTCATATTTCTCCAAGTCCGGTGTTTTAGCCTGGTGAAGATATATTGAGAACTGACTTTATAACAAAACTGAAACTGCAAAGGGATTTTATCGATACCATATATTGTTTTAGCCGTCACAGATGTATTAAATGAAGTGAAAATACCTAAACATTTACTGATTGAAAAACAACAAACCTGGTCAAGATATATTGAGAACTGACTTCATATATAAAATTAACCTTATGGACACCTTAAACACCTAGAAACGCTCTGGGCAATAAGTCACAAATTAGTGTAGCCAAAATACAAACCCTTTTTTTAAACATAGATACATCATTTACATCTATCTGACAAGAGGCTCAGGATGTCGTGTTCTATCACCTCTCAGATTCTCAAAAACCCAGTTAAGTATTATTACCATAGAATAGGCCAATTGTTTTGATGTTATGGCTGCTCTGAACAAGTATTAGGGCAAGCAGACACAAGAAGTATCATTCTGTTGAGATCTGCACAATTTAGGCTCCTTCCATAGTGTATGTACCAGGTTAGGCCAAATATTAATTCAGATTTCCTTATTTTAGTTCTATTACGAGTTCAGGAATGTCGGTGTTAGCCAAGTGAATATACCCCCTGCCCATAGGTTTCAGTCCCTTTACACAACTTGATGTAAAATAGGCAAACAAAATTAGTTACCTTTATATTGGCACATACACTTCTAGAGCGCCCTATTTAGTATAAAGTGGTGAATGTTTCATTAGATTTTCAGTTAAGCTCCTATGCTATAACTAAACAAATTGCCTTCCAATACTGTTTTCATTTATTTTACATTGGTTATACAACTGAAAATTATTACCAAACCATATATAACAATTAATTGCACCCAAAATAATTACAAAATTCACAATGATTTCTACAAAAATAATGCATTCCAGACTGAATTATGTAATATATATATGCAACAATGTAAAGCAGATATAACCTTAGAAATTCAGACAACTAAGCAACAAAAGGGATTAATAGTGGATGAATGGTCACAACCTGAAATTCCCTCAATATGGTATACGAAGTGTTAGATGAAACAATATTAAATCAATATACCGTCGATATCTGATGTTTTTGACAATTTGTGGATTTTTCAATTATATGAGTATCTGCTCTTAACAAGGTCAGGTGTGCTTATTCAAAGTTGAGGGAAACACACACGTTTGACTATTGAAATGTGCTACAATGAAATACAGAAAAGTATTACAAATATGAGATTGAAAAATAAGCTTTCCAGACTAAATTTATATGGTAAAAATCGTACAATTTTATGAAATAGATAAAATAAAAGCATTTGAAGTTTCTATAATGAAGGACGGTTGAAAACACTGCTTTTTAAATGGAAGAACTTTAGATGGGAAAACAAAGTGAAAATGTTCATGTTAAATTTTTCACATACTGTCTACTCTGAACAAGGATCTTGAGCAGAAAGCAAAATACAGTATTTGAAAATAAGATAAAACCACTATATTAAAGAGACATTCATGAGCAAATTATAAAAGGGTGGTATAGTAAGTGCCGTACAGGTTAAGGACCTCAATCTCAATAAAGCACAAGTAGATGAGAAGTTAAATTAGAGTCAGTAAGAAGCCCAACAGGTATGTGAGTTTTCAGTAAGCTGAAACGCTTCCCGAATTGTTTAAACAACAAATGGATACATAGAAGAAGTTGCTCAGTGGGTTGCTTGATGCGGTAATTATGTTTCAGGACAAAGAGTGTCTTTCCAGGTTAATCCGGAACACATCACCAATTTTAGAGCTTGGCAAATGTTTACCATAAGTTATACTGACCCAAAATGATGAAACCTGCAAGTCAGATTAATTTTAAATGTCATTTTATATATTTAGACAAGAGTAGTTAATATTAAGCCGACAGAAAAAGTAATGTCAGTAAGTATGGAAGTTCACTGAATGTAGTTGGAACATCATTCAAAGCACGATGTTTTGTATTTTTAAAAATAGATGACACAAAACTTACAAAAAAGTACACAATGCAACCTGGATGCTGTCTCATCTTGGTGAATCATCCATAAATACCAATTTACTTGGAAATAGATGAGACAGACTAGGTTATTCCAATCCTATATTTCACGATTCTTATTATAGTGATTTAACCCAGCAATTATTATAATCTTTGTAGTTATATATTGTTTTTTCTAAAGAAGTAGAATATGATCCGACGAAAGCTTGCGAATATACTTGCTATTTTGTGGAAAGAGATTATATTTATCTTTATAATACTATTTCGTTCAAACACCCTTGTGGCAATGGTAACATTCTGATCTAAAGTAGACAAAGGGCCTGCAGTCCAATACACATTTACTAGAACCTCAAGTATATGTTTGGGGTGGGATGAAATAATATTTGAAAATTTATATTTTTCCACAGAATTGAATTCACTGATCTTCCTCGACGTCATCTTGATCCATCATTTCCTCTAAAGCAGTGTCAATATCCACGGCCTGTTCTTGGGGTGCCTTTCCATTCATGGGTGCTGCAAACTTAGAGACTTTTCCTTTGAACTTCCGAGATGCTTTTAGACTATCCGTGGGTGGAGATTTAGGCGGGTGTGGTGCCATCGGAGGTGCTGATTGTTCAGATAACATGTGTATTGGTGGTGGGGCAGGGGCGGGAACAAAACTAGATTCTTCATTTTCAAGAGTGGTAAGTGCAAGGCCACTAACAATAGGAACTGATGATGAACTGCGATCTGCGGAATTCTCTTCTGTGAGCTGCAGAGCCACTGATTGCTGTTGAGCAGAATTGGGTCCAGAATTGGAGGAAGGTTTATCACTCGAGTCTAATGCTTCCTCTTCTTGTTCAAAGTATTCCAACGGGGCAGCAAGACCATTAAGAGGCTGGTAAGAAGCATCCATAGCTATTGAGGAAGTGTGCTCTAAAGTTACAAGTTTGTTTTCCAACGGCATTGCCGCTGAATCTTCGAATCCATGTAAAGATGCAGTATCTTCTTTGTCATTATCTGCATCCATAGCAGCAGCCATTGATTGGTCAACATCTTCAGGATCTTCCATTTCCATAGCGAAGAAGAGATCATCAACACCCGCATCATCTCTATACGATGCTTGTGCCTGGCTTTGTTTGGATTCTGAACAATCAGGCTCTTCTTTTTCGCTACGAAGAAGTGGAATAGAAATACTTGCTTCGATCTCTGGCTCATAGGCTAATGGAAGAGATTCCCCTCCAACTGGGTAGATAATAGGCGCTGTTGATGAATTGGGCAAACCAGACATTGCAGATGAAGATGTCTGCTGTAGTGTTTCATCATCTATTTCGGTCAATATCTCGTTATTTATTTCAGCAGGTTCTTCAATTATTGGTTCAATAGACGACACATTTCCTGTTTCATTATCTGGGGTTTGCGCAGGATAAGAAAACTTTTCATGTTTCTCCAAGTCCGGTGTTTTAGTTTGGTCTTTTACAAGAATTCTCCAAGCTTCTCCATCTCTGGGCTTTTCTGGTGATTCTACTTCTCTAGTTTGATCCTCTGCTTGTCTCTGAAAATCATCCTCCATGTTGTGTCCAATTATATCATCTTCATCCAAGCTATCATGCAGGATTCGTTCGTCGGCATCCATTTTTTGTCCATCTTGAGTTGTTAAATCTACAGTTCCCTCATTATTTTCAACTGTTTTATCCACGATTTCAACCAGACCACCAGGATGTTCTCTAAAGGTATATTTTTCAGCTGTTGAATCGTCCTCGTTTTCATATGCTTCATCTTTGCTTGATTTTTTACCTTCTTGAAATAAATCTTCATGTGACTGACTTCGTAATTCTGAATCCGGTTTCGGTGAGGAAATTTCTGTCGAACTCGTTTGTTTCAATTCACTCGTACTTTCATCACCACCAGTGGGCGAAATAGAGCGATAAGAAGGGGGTAGACTGATGGGGTAAATTTCATGAGCGTTTGGTTTTTTCATTTCCCTGTCGCCAACGATAAAATCAGTTTCTTCAGTATCTTGAATTGAGCGGGTTGTTTCCAAATTCAAATCTTCATCAGCAGTTTCTTCTCTAATTTCAATCAAAGCTGCTTCCGTATCTTCTCCAGTTTTTAAAGGAGTATAAACTTCATTGTCATCCTGTTTTTCATTGCCGTACATGTATTGAGGCGTCTGGTGTGATTCCCTTTCAGAAGCAGGACTTTCAGCTGGCTGTTCAGGCTCATCACCATGTTCTGAAACCTCCGCATCAACAGTCACCTCATAAATAACATTCCCCTTCAAATTTGTTTTTATTTCCGACTCTTCATCTTTGACTGGTTCACTTTTAACTTCATCTTTAATTCCCGACGTTCCAACAACTGATTCTGATTGTTCAGAATCTTGGGTCATGGGTGAATCTTGCTTCTTCTCCTGAGTTGTAGAAGTCAGTTTGGCTCCCTGTTCAATCTCCTGCAAAAGAGATGATCGTGGTGTAGGCGGTTCTGGGTCTTGCTTTGTGATAGATTTCGAATCTAATTTATCAGCCTTCTCATCGTTCGCACTATCTTCAACCGTTTTAGAGTCGTAAGACAAATTATGGCTCTCATTAGGAGTGTCTGTACTCCATGGAACTGAACCGGGAAGAGGAGAAGAAAGCTGGGGCAAATCCGGATAAATTTTAGAGTAAGAATCATCTGCATCCTCGGCGGGTGAAGAAGGGCTTACTGCAGGTTTGAATCCTGAATCAGATGAATTAATAGAAGCTTCACTCGCAGATTTGACCTTCGACACTGTTTGCTCTTCTTGCAGTTGAGAAGAAGTATTCTCTCCCACACTAGTATAAGATGTACTTTTAACTTCGTCTTCTCTATGTGGCTGGGATGCCAGATTCTCTTCAGCTAAGTGTGAACTTAAGCTAGATTGAGATTCGCTTTCCACATGTCGCTCAGAATTTCCCACTTGATATTCTGTAGATCTGGTAACAGTGCTAGAATCTGTAGAAATTTGACTCTTGGATGAAATTCCTTCATTACTTCTTGGTGTCCTCTGCAAAGAAATGAATAATTACATTATTTATTGAAAAAACAACTTAAATTTCATTACAGACTTTAAATTGACTGGAAGAACATTTGCTAAGTTTATTACACAAACATTCATTACACGATAAAGCATTAAACAGGGTACAGAACTAACATTCAAAAATTTGAAAGGTTTGGAAAAAAGCTAATTCACCTCATAGCTATCACCCAAAATATCTTTATAAATTTGGCTATCACAACATTCAAACTAAAGTTTGGAAATACAACATATATTTGTACGAAAATTTTGGGAAGGATGAAGAATTATCAATACACTAGTTACCATACAAAGAAAGGGACGAGCACTGACTCAGTAGAAAACAAGTAAACTTTAAAGGTGTATATTCAAGATATATAAATAGATTGTAGGTCAAAAACACACAATAACCAGCCAATTTTTACAGGGACCCCCTGTGTTGCATCCCCACACCCTACTGTACAATTAATAACATCAAAATTAGGGCTGGACACTTCGAATCGATTCGAATAGTAAAGTATTCGAATCGGTTCAGAGCAAATTTCGAATCGCCGCCACCCTTTTTTTTCTCTCTGCAAATGGTCGAGGTGGATTACCCAATTTTTTTATTTTTTATGTTTTCAGTAATTCATTCGTTGACAGGACCAATTACAATAAAAAGAGTGACATACAGTTATATATCTCCCATTGACTCTCAAGTATTCGAGATCTAATTCGAAAAAAATATTTGTTTTGATTCTGAAATCATCAGGTATTCGAAATAGCCCAGCCCTAATTAAAATAGAACGAGTTAAACAGCATGCAAAAGTACTGACCTTACAACACTGAATACTCATGCAGACATCGACAAATCAACATGCAGATGAGAAGATTCATTTGTTTCTACTGATCCATCTACGAGGTGTTCAATTATTAAGATGATGAATTTATTTGTGCACAGAAATTAGGTAGGCCTATACAGCTACGGTACAAGTGTATATTGAAGAGGAAATCTCTATGCAGTTTAGCGTTTACGCGTGTACTCTACACTTAAGTCTAAACTTATTGCAGCTTAGCCTGTGATGAACCTAACTCGAATTCAAAATTCTTGACCCTTTTAGAACTGACATGTCCAAACTATGACCTGCTGGCCAAATTCGACCCATTGGGTAATTCAATCTTGCCCACCTGATGCTGCCACAACCAAACTAAATCAAAATTTTGGTGCTTTAGATGAAAAATAGCATAAGAAATTTGTTGAGATATCGATTAAATTTAGTTTGGGCACGAAGCTTATTGTTTCAACTTTTGCTTTCATAACACTGTAAATATTTTTCATGAAATGTACGTTTTACATCACAATTACATGGCCCGCCAGTCTTGGTGGGCAATATTCTTGGCCCCGAGTTCGAAAACCTTGCCCACCCCTGTTCTATAGCTTATAAACGGTCCAAGAGGCAAAAGCTGCTAATAATGCCTCAAATCCCATATTCTTGCTTAGATACTAGTTCTGATATGCGAATGCCACAAATGCAAGAATGTGGGAGTTGTGGAAACTGTCACTAATGTGAGTAAATCGGTGAAACATCTAAAATGAAGATTTTATCTTGTCTGATTCATATTTAAACCAGATAAAAATACAACAATCTGAGAGCTATCCCGGACTACAAACCTCAGTTACCATCTTACATAGTAGTTAGGATTTAATATAACTAGAGATGCCAATCAAATTTCGCTTAAACGAAATTAAAAAGGGTTTTTATTGGGAATATTTTTGAACTACGGTACTTTGTCTTTTTCAAACATTTTCTCCCTTTCTTACGAATCCACTACCATGATTTGAGTCTCAGCACAATTAAATTAAATACACAATCCCACAATACCAATCTATTACAATACAATGAAAGACATTGATCCAGAATTACACTTCTGAACGGCACACACACAATTAATTACAAACACTGAAGACAATACATATTTCGCAAGATGCAGCAATAGATACACTGACCAAGATCGTTCAACTACCAAATTTTCAATAGGATTCAAATATTCATTTGTCTTCAAAGTTAAAATTTAATTCGCAACAAACTGTCTTAAGAAGACTTTATGACCATACGCAGTTAGGACAGCTTAATCGTATGACAAACAACAGACTCTCTCTTGTATGGTTATCAGTCTCATGCAGATAAGGGAATAGCTGAACAATTTAAGCGTATGCCCAGACTTGCTATGACGCGGGAAGCTGCTACCGAACAGTGGTTATGTGAGCCACTAGATGTCAATGAGAGCTCTATCTTTTTCCTCACATATAATCAACCTCCTCCTGATAAAATTCTAATCTGACTAGATAATTAGCGAGATGATGGGAAGTGTATTTCCAATGTTTAACAAATTTAATGTTTATTTTGAAACAAAGCAAAAACCCACTACTTTGAATTATGCTTGTGCAAAAACAGCCAATGACAAACCTACAACATACCGGTATAATTAGGAAAGAGGAGTATATCAGTATAATATATCTGAACAATTGTGTTTGTGATTTTTAGCAGTGCTGTAATGAATGGTGTTTATACTAGCCAAGTGCAATTTAGGCCCGTCTATCAATATCACTATAAAATAGTAGTATGTAAGCTTTCTTTGAGCAAACTTTTGCTGGTGAGCTGTGACTAGCGCCATATGAATAGTGCAAAACATTTGCAATGAAAAACAAGTTTTCAATAAAATTTTTAGGCACTCACCCCAGTAGGTGAAGAATCTTCTTCATCTTCTAAAACTGCTGTGAGACTAGGAGCTCCTGGTCTGTTTGTCAAGTCTTTAAGTGTTGGTTCTGGTGGACGATCTTCAATTCTTCTTGCCTGGTAAAAATAATTGCTTCAGTAGTAAATATTGTACTTTGAATTTTTTTTTATCTTTGGTAGGATATTGATAACAAACTCAAAGTTTCAAATAATGATACAAGCAAATATCAAGGGCTTTAAACCAGTAGGATGAAACTTAAAAAAGATGTTTCGATAAAATGAGTTATAATTTGTTTGATTTCATAACTTTTTATTGCAATACTTTGCGAATACTGCTTCAGGTCAAATAGATAACTACCAGATTAAAAAGCAGCTATATTGTTGTAATCTGTTTTAGAAGCTCTTTTGTCTTACTACCTTCAATATTGACAAATATTCCATGCTAGATTAAATAGTGATTTCTCAAACAAAACATATCTGATCAGGAGCTTTCAAATAAACAATTTGGTGATAATGTTATATACATAATTAGAAGTAATACATTATATACAGTGGTGGGATTCAAATTTTTTGTCAGCCGATTCCATCTCACAAATGTCATATTTTCAGGCGGTTCTGTTACAAAAAGTCATGTAATGCTAACCGGTTCGCTGATCTCATGAAATTCTGTGAGACGGTTCTATAGAACCGGTGCGAACCGGCTGAATCCCACTACTGATTATATATTTATTATTTTAAAATCTAGTTTTATTAGCTAAGAAAACACACTTGAAACATCAAATATTTTGAAACAATTTCAATTTTAGCCTGGTTCTGTTTCAAATTCAAACTTCAAAACTGTCACTGACCTGCAAATGATTGCTTAGTGTTTCTTTTCTTTTAATCGAACAAAATGCTTCTATTTATTTCTAATCTAATATGAAGCTTTCATATACTAGCCAATTCTGACTTTACTTGACCAATATCTTACATTCAGTGGCGTGCCTAGAGAGGGACCATAGGGGTAGCATGTTATAGGGGTGAGTTTGTTGCTTAGTTTGTCGATTTAAATAATAATATTACAAACATTTTATTCTTACTGACATTTAATTTATTTATTCTCATGTATAAGAACATCTTTAATTTGTTTATCCCTAAATTATTTTTGAAGTCAGGTACAAGGTGCAGCATTATCAGGAACTCGCCACGGCAGCAGAAAAATTTGACACGCCACTGCTTACATTCTTTTTGTCTGAGAACTTCTGACACAACCCTTAGTATCTGTTTCATTTACTGCCCTAACTATCCAACTTCTTTCATAAAACTCAACAATCTTTGGATGGTTACTGTCCCTTACACAGAAACAACTTGTCTCTGATAATAATTCTAATCTTTGCTGTAATTTCGAACTCTGTGTTTTTATATCTCAAATTTAATCAGGAAATCATACAGCTTTGTGCGAATGCATAAAAACTCATAAATTAATTGACAATTCTTCAATAAATGAATACAAAATCCAATACTATATAAATCAATTAATTCTCCATAATATTCCTGGCATCTCAACAATAAATAAATTAATTCTTGAACTTCACCAACTTTTTCTCTGCAATGGAAATAATGGGAAAAATAAACAGAAAGAAATTGTTAGTGTCTGACTATTTTAACCAAAATATAATAAAGCTATGTCAATAAGGCGAGTGCTTGCGCACTGCACAGATCTCTTGAAGTTCCTGGGAACCTTTCCTAGCAACTAGTCATATTTAATTACTTGATAACTTGCTGTAAGATCAATATATTTCACCAACTTAAAAACTTTTTTTTTCCAACATCTTGATTGCCATACTGTTTGGTATCACTATACCAAAATAGAATATAATTACATAACCTTACAGTGTATATATGAAAGAAAATTATTGCATACAGAATAAACTTCATTTTAAAATTCATTCAATATATCTATAATATAGCAAAATTCCAAATTTTTACTCATTCAAGATAAACCATTATGATAATTGCCTTGAAAAGGTAAGAATCAACCACAGATATTAACTTTAAAATTTGATCTTCAAAATATCAAAATAGATTTTTAATTTTTATACATCCTATTTTTATTCAAGGTTAATTTATACCAGTGGTTCCCTAAGTTCATTGACCGAGAGCCAATATTAGAAGCTGAAATTTATTTGCGGGCCAAGAGTGCCCGCAAGGGGCCATTACTGGCATGTATAATTGAGATATCGAATTGTTAAGATATCAAACTGAATTGTTGGGAATATACGCATGCCCAAACTGTGATAATGACATAACAATTGGTGGTATCTAGAACACAAAGGAATCATTTCACCACTGACTCAAATCATTTTGATAGGAAAAGTAAATGGATGTTTAAACATCAAACTATGAAATCTCTTTTCAAGTCAAAATAGATTCTTGTACAGTAAGAAGTATTTAATTGAACCTACTCCATAATGAGATAAGCTTGATTCATAAACAACTGACCTTTTGTTCCTCAATTTCTCTCATTCTAATCGTCTTAGCTTCTTCTGAGAGTTGTTCAGAAAGAATATCTTCCATTTCAGCAGCTCGTAATTCATCATTAAGTTGACGATCTTTTGCTGATAACTGCACAAAAAAGAAAAAAATTAGATACAAAACAGTGGATAGACTCCAGTAAGTGACCCAGTGCTAGTTCAATTCAATGCATTCCAGTTCCTGTATACCTACACTGAAAGACTTGATGATACTTGGCAAATGATAGATTGATAAATACCATAATGTCCTATAAGTAAGCCAATGTTAGTCTAATTCGACAATTTAAACAAAACATGGTTATGTACCATAAACTGTTATTATAGTCAACTCAAATTTGCAGTTTGTATATTTCAAATGATTTGATGATGTATAGATGATTGTTTAATTAGGATGAAATGTAGTTAAATGCTTTATTCATAGTTAATTTTCAAATACAATATATTTTTATCTCAAATGTGGTTTCAATTTAATTAGTTCTATTTGGCAATAGTTATTTTTCACGATTTTTTTGAAAACATTCGTTTGAGCGAACAAATTCAAACAAAAATTTATAACTCGAATTGCAGCTTTCACTGACTACCTTCTTCTATAAAGCTTTCAATCAAAATTTGTGTTATTGAAGTGACAAATTATATGAAACAGTTCACATATCAACCTCAGCGATTCAACTCTCGATGCATAATTCTGTGCAGAAGACAGATTTGCATTGATTGATTTCTTGAAATTTTTGAAAACTCTATTTTTTATGATAATTTAAAGTACGGTAGCTTATATGACCATTAACTTATAGGTGCTTTTAACAGAAAATGACATAAGTTACAACGATCAATCAATCAATCAATTTTATTTCGGTCACTCTGGTATAAAACAAAACAGTAACAAACGAACAAACACAAAACACAGAGGACCTGGAGGACGGGCATAACTTAAAGAAAAGTTAAAAACGTGAAAATACGCGTCCGTCCCGTGAGATGTACAATGGGTTAAAACCAAACAAATGGAAATAGTGGAATATAAAAAAGAGGAAACTTGTTTTTACCAATTTATCTGCAGCTTCATTTTCCTTGAATTTGTACAAAAAATGTGCGATATATTCCACTGGATCCATGGGCCGTTTTTCAACAACTTCGCAGAGCGCTTCTGTCAAAACTGATCCCAGGTGTTTCTTCAAATACTCAGAATCCATTTTATAATTTTGTTTTTTAAAACTAAATACAGATATTTTCGCAAAACTTTATAGATATTCACAGTACAATTGCGACCTCAAGATCGAAAAACCTGCCAAACTAAATGTGCGACTGAAGTAAAGTTTCGTTTTATTCCAACGGTTGCTAATGGTTACTGTAATTTCGCTATAGCGAATTCTAGCGATAAATCAAGATGGATTTACATATTTATCCTGTGGGAGACGAATGACGATAAAATGGAGTAACAATATAACTAATTCTAATCTATTGTCCAATTTATAGTTCAACAATACAAGTAACCAGTGAATTATTTTGTAACACATTTAGTTGTTTTGCACAAATTTTTATGCATCTGTGACGACCCTTGTTTTGTCGTTGGCGTGATGTCCATATCCTATGTTGGATTCTCCCCTTCAGATTTTAATTTGCTGTGGGTCATTGTAATTGGATGTGATTTTTATATCATTTATGTATGCATGCATTTTATGTTAAGGCATGGTGTTTGAGTTGACTTGTTGGCCAAGGTATAGATAGTAAAATTTTGTGTGTTTTTTGCATGGTGTGATAAATTTTTCTCTGTCCCACGCAGAATGTCATCATAGATCATCTATCCATCGCTATATAATGACAATACATCCCATTTAATTAAACAATTATTTTTTGCCTGTAATAAATAGTTCAGAGCGTTCCCCTTCACCCAATCATTGAAACATCTACTCGCGGTTTTATTTTTTGTTTTTCAGGTTACTTCAAAGTGATTAAATGAAGTAAAACACATAAGGAAAAAATCAAAAAAAGACTCCATATCCTGTGAAATAACAACCTTATTCCTATATCCTTGTCTGAAATCAATACCCAGGAATGAAAAACCTCACTTACATCCTTTGTAACCAATTTATTTCCACATCCTACTTTACTTAATTATAGTAATTTTACTGTTACCGGTAACTTTAATTACTTATTACAATCTGGACTATAATTTGGCAATAATAGGCTCTAATTTGGGGAATAAAATGGTCTCGCCCACCTCTTCATGCACCCAATTCTGGCAACTTTGGTTGGGCAACTTGGCGTTTGACTCCAACTATAATTAGCTTGGCAATATCTTTTCAATAGAATCTTTATTTTATATTTTATTTAATGATTAGAAGATCGATCAATTTGGCAATGGCAATCATTACAAAAATATCCATTTGGGGTGGCAAATAATTTTTTTTCTTTTCTAGTATTTATTTATTTTTTTTTTTGTTTACTGTATAGTATACCCTAAATTTATCGCGTTTTATTCTTACTTAAATAACTTCTCAGTGTTTGTGTGTGTGTGTGGCTGGTGGGTACATGTGAGCGTGTGTGAAATAACTTAATAATTTTAGGTGAGTAAACACGTACCACTTCCTCTTGGCAAAACCTCCCATCTTATATTTTGTACGTTATAAACCTTATCTAAGGTTTTGTTTGCTCCCCTGATTTCATAATCAGTTTGTATTTATTTGTTTTTATCTGTCAAATGTATTGTTATGCTGATTATGGAGTCGAAATAAACTTATACTTATACCTCTATTGACAGATATTCTGAACTTGGATAATTATTTCATAGACTGCCGGTACGCTACACATCGAATCGCAGTATTGTTGTTTTCATTTTACATATATAAAACCGTCAAATCACGTTCTCTATCCTATACCCTTACATATTTTTTTCCATCTATTCAAAACGACCGAACTAGTACTTGCACGGGTCACGTGGCTTTGTTTAGGCTACTGGACGGCAAAAAACAAAAACGTCCATTTAGCTCCTGTTAGTTGCAAGTCGGGTTATACGTTGAAAATGGGTATTTCGTATTGTTCCGTTGGCTGTACGTATAGTACAAGTACGAAATGGATCTTCAGTTATATTCCACTGTTTTCAAAAGATCTGGAACGTCGCGCAATGTGGATATCATCTATTGGCATGACTGCTTGATGTCAAGTCCAGAAGTCATCTCGCTTGTGTTTCACTGTTTGCGGACAGCACTTCGTTGATGGTACTTGACAGAAAAAAGGTTGAAAACCCCTGCCATAAGGTATTGTTTCCTTAGTTAGCAGGTACCGGTAATCTATTAGTAAGTGTGAAAAGTTGAATAGATAACTAAAGTTTAATTAACGCCAGTGCTCATGCAAAAAATAACCAGAATTCAATTGAATTCGCCATCTAGGAATACCCTCGCCACCGCCTCTTTGATCACCCTGGTAGTTTCGCAGGTACCATTGCCCATGCGGAGATAGTTATGTGCGAGGGGATTGCAGCTCTTCTCCCACTGAGGGTGGTTCACGCGACCGCCGGCGACGTTCCGGATCTTTTAAAAACAGTGAAATATAACTGAAGATCCATTTCGTTGTCTATACGTACAGCCAACGGAACAATACGAAATACCCATTTTCAACAGCCAAACAAAACGGAAACGTATAATCCGACTTGCAACTGACAGGAGTCAAATGGACGTTTTTGTTTTTTTGCCGTCCAGTAAACAAAGTCACGTGACCCGTGCAAGTCCTCTATATTGCTTTCTTGTGTCGAAAATTTTAATTTGAAGAGTTGGGAGCTAATTGAATCTCGCAACTTATCGAAAATATCCTGACCGGACACTTAAAACATCTTTGTCATGTTTATGCTTTGTGAGCATTGATTGCGAGATGAAAAAAAAATTATGTTGGACATAATTTAATTTCTCCGTAAAATAAAAGCATGATATCTTGCGGAAGTGAACTAAATTTGCGCTTTAAGGAAAATTTCCATCCTTCATTGTCGTGTCCAACTGGGGTCGAGAGTAAATATATATATATACATTTTACCTAATACCAAAAACAATTTGGGCACAATGAGTCACAAGAATTCCATATACGTAAACCTATTTATTCATGGCTGTAGTTTCATCAAGTTTAGCAGGTGATTCTTCGAACTTATTTGTTTTCAATCGTTTGTAATCCGGTTCAACTGATAAAATGAACAAAACTAATGCAACAGAAATGCAAATTGCTGCGATTGTCGCGATGCCAATGTCGAAATTTTCTTTCAATATTCTCATGATGCTCGTCCAAAAGAATAATCCCAAACTCGTGATTCCACCAAATACAGGCATCATACGCAACTTGTCATTTGGGTAAGTTGTTTCCATTAGGAATTCTACAATAGCTGGACCGTATATACAACGACTGGAAAGAGCCGCAGTGTACCCGATGTATATAAGCGGCAATATTTTGTATGTATGCGCGTAATAAAGGCAACAAAAAGACAAAATTGCTGTCGTGGCACCTATAAAAAAAAGTGAATCGTTTTATTTTTGAAAAAATATTATGAAACTTCTTGCAACATACAAATTGAAATAATCGTCTGTAAAAGAGAATGTCACAGAAAAATATCGTCCCTACAATACATACCACATGTATGGAAAATTACGAATCCACATATATATAGTAAAAATATGTGATACCAAGATTTGCACCAAGATCCGAGGTTTCATAATATTTCAATAGACATAGTTTTTGTAAATCAAAGGTGCACTACCACGATGTATTAGAGCTGGGTATAATGATATAAAAAGTGTACAAAATCTGAAAGTTTCAACTAAAGCACTGGTATTTTTTGTACAAAGCTCCCGCCAAAAAACACCCCAGGCAACGGTCGAAATAGGGATATTAGTATTTATCTAATAAGCGCCTGTGTTAGGAATGCAGATTGCGATGAAAATTCAAATAATTCCTAAACCTAATTCTAATCCCGACTGAAAAATTACTAAATTGTAATTTTACAACGTGGCGAGGGTGTATTTCCCAAATCTCACATTTTCCATTAGTGACGGGGCTTTGTACCAAAAATCCAAAAACTGATTATTCCTCACCTATTATCGAGACCATTTTGAAAGATTTATATTTATCCAAGATTCGACCGGTTACGATTACTATAAGTGACGTCACGGAAGCCCGTATGGTAGAAATGTCGCCTGGTATCCTATTGTCAAGTTCAGGGAATGATGACAGAACAAATGATGGCATCAGAAACACTGCGTAAGACTGTGCAACATCACCAAAAAACATGGCTAAACTGAGCAAAATGAACGGCTTCAAGTAAATAGCATTCCATACTGCTTTCAATCGGCTTCTTTGTGTTGTAGTTTTAGGTGAGTTAGCAACAGATATGAGAATGTTTTCCTGGGACCTATTAGGTGGAGACGGAGGGTCATTGTCGCAGTAAAGTACAGCCAGCACGAGCGCAATTAGCAAAACGATACTGAAAAATCCATGTGTAGCTGTAAACAATATTTTTACCGGGATGAACTCAGTGCCGCTGCCGTCAACAGGAAAATCGACGTTCGGGATAGCGTATGGGTATATCAGAGAGCTAATAATGCCAGCCAAAGTTTTAGCAAACACGGGTAGCACAAAGGCAGTCGCGGTTTCATTTTGAGGAAACCATGCAGCTGCTAAGAGAACTTGCGCAGTGCGGGTCACACCGTTGATAAAAGCCATAATGATTCGTCCCAGTGCCGTGACGTAGAACAATTGTCTGAAATAGAGTAAAATGCATTTACACAGTGTTACACTTTTGTTATATAGGCAGTTATATCTTAACCGGCTTTGTATTATTTTAATTCACTTTTTTGACTTGTATAAAATGGTAAAGATATGTAAATATTGTATAAGTATAAACCGATATGAGGGATATTGATATTTTGACGCCAAACCTGTTATTGTTTCGTGTACCGAAACTTCTGTTTACTTGATATTTATATATACTGTTTTCTTCATATGACAAAATGAAATAAACTCTCTTTCTCTAATACACCTTCGTATGCCCATCAATATTTGCACAAAGCGCGTGAAATTATTCTCAAAACGAAAGCTTACCTTGAAACAAATCCGATTGTGCATAGGATAGTACCAACTACCAATTAGAAGTAAAGTTAGCATTCCCAGAATTAGAGCTCGCAAAGATAAAGTATCACCAAAGTAGGCTACACCAAAGCCCACAGGAAAAGCGACCAGTAACCCAACAACAGCTAACATATCTGCTTGATACGGAGTAATGTCGTAAAACGATGCTACGACATCATGTAAGACAACGAATCCGTTTGTGATGTAGACTGGAATGAAAGTAATACCGCAGAGTATCACAAGTAGAAGCCATCTTCGAGGGTACGCCTTGTATTCCATCGTGTGTTATTTTATAATGCTCAATCCTAAAATATGAAATAGTGAGATTAACTAGTTAGCTCAGCAGAAAATATCACTTTGCATTTACAGTATATTAAAAAAAATATCGTTTAGTTTTGTTATAATGGGTATTTATGAATACATTATGTGTTATTCAAACTGTGCAAAAGCCAGTTTGGCTAACTTCACGCCGTGTAGTTAGCTATTGAATAAGATAGTTTGGAATTACCTTCCCAGTCCATTGAGTACACAGTAGTTTATGCCTGAACTATTGATAGCGTTTTCCACTGACGTTACAGCTGAAGATAGTAAAAATGGTTATCGTTTAATTCCTTGTAGCTCTGAATCTGACTAGTCAGTCGACATTTGATAGCCAACTATGACAAATTTAAATCAATTTTGGCGATTCAGAGTTAATAACTCTTATATATATATACTAGTTATGTATTCTCAAAAGAAACCGAAAACCATTTGAGCAGTCTTACAAAGACAGTCATATGAGGGCCTTACAAAAGTATGTGTACCAATATAGAGGTCAATAATTTTGTTCACCTCCTTTGAAGCCTATAAGCCTTTGAAGGGGTATATTCACTCGGCTAACATAGACAGTCCCCAAACTCGTAATAGAACTAAAATGAGGAAAATCGGAATAAAATCATGGCCTGACCCTAACCTGGTACACACGCTACGGGAGTGCCCATCTGAGCGTGCCTGGTTCTATTTGTCTCTATACAAAATGCGTATTATATATACTCTGTTACTTCACATCGTTACATTTTCTACATTGTAAACGATATTGGATTGAGCTCATACTTCACAATGTCTCAACCTATACGTATAAAAGATAACATCACGCACAAAATCTTTCGTGTCACATATATTTTTGTTTGTATTGAAATATGACAAGACTATTGATCGAGCATACGTGGACTTTAGAGCAAAAGAGTTGGGCCCTCGAAGAATATGTGGAAGATGGTTTGCTGTCAATGTAAGTTTTTTATATCTTGTATATTGCATTATGGGTACTCTCGAAGTATGTGAACCAAGATGACGTACACCGGAACGTAGTATGTGTATCAGCCTATCAGGTTAGGGTTAGGCCATAATTTTATTCCAATTTTACTTATTTTAGTTCTATTACGAGTTCGGGGACTGGCCAAGTGACTCCCGTAGTATTTGTATCTGAAATTATGGCCTAACCCTAACCTGGTACACATACCACACTCCGGTGTCCGCCATCTTGGTTCACATACTTCGGGAGTACCGCATTGTGAACTCATACTAATATTGAGATATATTATATTTGCAATTTTTACTAGAATCATTCGCATTGTAATGCGATTTAAAACACAGCCCCATTCGCTAGTTTTGAATTGGCATAAAAAGAACTATTTGAAATTTGTTCAGACCTATATATACAAACAAGTGAACATGGTTAAAATTATGATTAATTGCCATAATACTATATGAAACATCGCCTGATATTTTCTTACTGCGCAGATTGATAAACAATGCATATTTGCTCCATTCGAAATACACTTTATAAAATTTTATTACGCTCTCCTCATTTTAGTCCTATTACGAGTTTGAAGACTGTCTGTGTTAGCCAAGTGAATATACCCCGTCCATAGGTTTCAGTCCCTTTACACAACCTGATGTAAAATAGGAGAACAAAATTAGTTACCTCCATATTGGTACACAGGCTTCTAAACCGCCGCGCGTGAGGGACACAAGGTAGCCTACACTACTATTGTAATAACCAGTGGTTTCATTATCTGTGGCCTCCTGACAAATACTCTCAACGCTTGTGGCCCCTGCTTTTTCATAAAAATGCTTAGTTTGGGGCTTTTAACGCGTTTGTATCAGGTATTTTATGCGCTATGCTTAATAAGAGATATGCCAACAATAAATAAGAGCGAAATAATAAATGCATTACAGTAGAAGAAACCGCAGTCAGCTTGCTTTTAAACAGTGGTTCTCTAACTTTTTAAGCCGCGTCCCCTTATTAGAATTTGTCAAGTCTCGCACCCCACCGAGAAAATAACTAGCTAACAATAAGCAACTAATAACAGATTGTAAGGCGAAAATATGTTTTTATATACAAATAAGGCGGGAAATATCAAATCTATCAAATATTTTTATTTCTAATTAACTTCACTCCCCCTCAAAAAATTGCTTTGTGGGGCACGCCACACCTTTTGAGAACTACTGCTTCTAATTATTGTATACATCGCGAATATTGAAGGCATCTTCTCATGCCCATTAAAAATTTGTTCGACTGCCCTTCGGCAGGACCCAGTTTGAAATTCTGATATAGGTCCATTTTCTTAGTAAGGAGAAATTTTAGCAGCGGATGAATGGTGTAACTAATCACGTCCCATAATTTAGAAAAGATTTATCAGATGTTTTCATCATAGTATGTGCGGTGAGTTAATTTTAAGCGGGTTGATCTCACCATGATCAACACCTCAGTCAGACTGTGATACATTTAAAATGACATGCAAAAGAGAAGAGTCTTAATTTCTTTTTGAGTATTGTTGCCTGATAACCAGCTTCCCCTTCCCCACATAATAAAACTGGAATACTAGTGAATGATGTAATATGCGAACGATAGTTTTATTGGAGAAAATTCGAGTTGACTTTCAAACAACATCTCGTTAAGTGCGGATCACTGTTAGGGCGACATAGGAAATCGGAGAAGTGGCTTCGATCAGAATTGAAAGACTTTGGAAAATGTGTGTGATTATATTTTCATTACGAGTCCCTTTTTTCTATTACGACGCTAAAAAAAAGAAAGAAAACAAAAAAATTAATACTTAAATATTTTTACACTTTTGAAATGATAAAATTCTAATTAAAAGTCACGTTTGCAGTTATTTTTAATGTGTTTACAATAATGAATATTACATTTTATTGGGACACACTGTATATATACTGTATTTATACATTTTACCTTTCGGTGTCTGCAACAATTTGAGCCATGAGTCACAAGACCCCCATAGACGTAAACTTATTTATTATTGTAGTAGTTTCATTAACTGTAGCAGGTGAGTTTACATCAAGTTGTGTAAAGGGACCGAAACCCATGGGCAAAGGTTGTATTCACTTGAGTAACAGAGACAGTCCCCGAACTCGTAATAGATCCAAGAACAGGGAGATACAAGAAGAATAGATACAAAGAAGAGGGAGAATACTACCAACATGATCAACAACAACATAATAACAAAACTATCAATATGTACAATTCGTGTCCAATAATTTGAGACATTTATGTTACCTTACATAGACGGCAAACTATCTTCCACCAAACCATCTTTGTATGCTTCAAAGACAACTTTTTTGCTCTAAAGACTACGTGCACTGGATCAATAGTGTCATATTTCCAGACAAACGATATTTCCAGACAAACGAAATATATGTGACATGAAAATTTTTTTGAGTGATGTTATTCTTTATACGTGTAGGTTGAGACATTGTGAAGTATGAGTTCGATCCAATATATATATATCGTTTACAATGCAGAATATGTAGCGATATGAAGTAACAGAGTATACGCATTCTGTATAGAGACGAATAGAATCAGGCACGCTCAGATGGGTATTCCCGTAATGTGTGTGTACCATGTTAGTGTTAGAGTCTTAGACCATAATTTTATTCCTATTGTCATTAATTTAGTTGATGTAAATTTAATTTAGTTGATGTAAAGAAGACTTAAAAATTAGTTACCTCCATATTGGTATACACACTTCTAGAACGCCATCATATGACTGTTCCTGTGAGATTGCTCAAATGGCCCTCGATTTGTTTCGTAAATGCATAAAAGTCTAAGATATATATATAAGTGTGTTAACTCTGATTCGCCAAAATTTACAGAAAAATTTGTTATAGTCAGGATAGGATGTACATATTTATCCCAGGATCATATAGCGAACCACGGCATAGTTACCGGTTATCAGTTCAGGTGGGGTACGGCATTAGTTATCCATTTAATTGTTTTCGGAAGCATGGACTTGATGGCGGGGGAAGCCGTAACTGACCAGCGGTTACCGTTACGAGAACCACCATGCGGTGGCTAGGATTCCAGCAATCCTCTCGCACATGACCCTATATGGCTATCATATATAGCGAGAGAAATCAAACGGTAACGAACGCTTTTTGTAATATATAAATATAAGCAAAGGTATTGTAATTTGCCATCAGTAAATACAGAACCTATTTTTATTATCTTCAGCTCTTTCAGGCATAAACTATTGTGTACTGAAGGGACTGGGTAGGCTATTCCAAACTATATTACCGCCTCCCTATTCCCGTTAGTAAACCAGAAATCACGCGGGCCTCAAGCAACGGCGGAGATGCATACTGGGCGCCTACCGGCTTGTTCAATAACTAACTACACGAAGTCAATATTTTTTTTTCAAAAACGAGCGCGAACAATTGGTTTGAAGTTATATAAGGCTTGAGAATAGTAATTTCTGGGTTAAAATAGGATACTTCCGTAGTATGTGCACCAAGATGGCGCACAACCTGAAAATAGTATGAGAACCAGGTTAGGGTTCAGGTTGTGCACCAATACTACGGCAGCGTCTACAATAGATATCTAGTGTGTACATTGTACAATTGAGGGTTTCGTTATGATGAAATAATATGCACCGAACGCCCGTTGATATGATAGACGCAGACAATGCGACATTGCATCCAATAACTTTTTATTTTACCCAATGGGAGGCTCCAAACAATGAAATTGGAGTAGAATAAATTTTGAAAAACGATTTTGCATACTACCAGTCTCGTTCAATGATTTTCCGGACCTCCTGAAGTATTCCATATTTATAATAGAGAGAGAAATGAAAATAAGACGACCAAATCGTTGACCAAACCACGGCCACTCGCTGGGTCGACGTTTCAAGTGGGGGAATGGAATAGCTAACTGAGTAATCTATTTATTTATATTTGGCTCAGGCATTAGAAAATAACACATGATGGAATACACGGTGTACCCT